AACCTCATACGTAATACTCAGTGACAGTACGAATACTAGTCTAATTCATTGACTTATTCAAGCCGGTCCTCGGTCCCTCTCTCATATGGGCCAGATAATCTTGCTGTAAAGCCCGTCAGTCCGGCGTTCCTTGCGAGAACCCCTGCATTTGTGGAGCTCTGGGGTCCTGGGCATCTCCAAGGTGGTCCGGGCCATCTGCCGTTGGTCGATTAGCTGCCGATCGGACCAAAGAAGCTTCACCTGCAGGCTCTGGAATGAGAAAAGCTGGAAGAGAAAAGTGACAGCGACAAAAGAATGGGCTATCAGCCGCAGTTTGCCACTAGAATCTGTGCACCCTTCGAGTGGAGAAATCGTCACAATAGTACAGCTGCTAAACGACTAAATGCTACCTAGTTATAGTAGCTGCAGCTTGGATAGAGTGGCTACTGAAGAACATTTCTCCATCTGTCCTGAAACAACCGGAAAACTGCGCATAATAACAATAATCATATTTCTTACCGTATTTTCCACGCACATTCGCAATAATGAGAGCGGTTTATTCAAGCGAAAATGATCATTAAAGCTCGAGGCGAGTTGTGTGAGGGGCATCACCTAGCTCAAGGCAAATCACCCGGGAGCTGCTGAGATTGATGTGCAGAGCTTGGTCGTATTTGAAAATCACAAGCGTTAAATAGAACCAGGGTTTCCCCTCCACGCTGGACGGTACCCGGAAGCCTGGGCTCTTGGGACTGTGGATATACTCTAATGAGCCATTTCCAGTACATACTCGGCCTAAGAGGCATCTGAGCGCTGACTCCATACGCTGGAGCTGCTAGTGTTGTGGAGGAGTATGGAGCATATCGCCGAACTGAATTAAATGTGCAGAGATGAGATATTTGGTCGACTTCAAATTCCTCTGGCAGGGCGAAGAGGCATAAGCAACAAAATTGGCGTATTCGTTATACATTAGTGGAAGAATTTTGACAGAATGGCTTCAAGAATATAGACTCAGCGTCGGGAGACCAGCGTGAAGCTTTGTCTGCAAATGATTGAGCTGAAGCATCTGAGGAGTCGCAATCGCGCTGGAGCCACCTTATTAGTTCGATTTCCCTGCAAGCCATCGAGTCTCCTCCTCCTGAGGTATGCATGTGTTTTCGCAAACTCAAACTCCTCAGCTGCTAGAGGTAGAATAGACGGTTATCACGGCAAGATATCAACATAGAAATATGTTGACTCTAAGCTCGTTCTGAGTAATCGACGCCTTATCCAGTTCATTACCCCCCCTAGGCTGAAGCGGCATATTGCGAGTGTTGTCTTCATGGCTGTATATCGCCTTACAGGCATAGAAGCCAGAAGTTGATCTGAGCGTCGTTGATATAGCATCCAACTCTCAATAGATGGGTAGAAGCGTTGTTGAAACATCTTTCCTACGTGTTTGGTTGACTAAACACTCGCGGTTAGCATGTAGCGGCATGGCGGTGTGTGTTAGATGTTTGAGTGTCGTGAGGATGTGGGTTTACGGAGACCTGCTGGCGGTTGATACCGGCCTAACTACCTCTCCAATGACCTGTTTCATGGACACCCCCGCGTTACGTTGTTCAACCTTTACGAGATGACTCGCAAGTTGAAACAAGCCGCTCACTGAAATCTGGTGGCGCTGCTAGAATTCTGTCGTTACCGAGGATGCTTGCTTAAAGATGCAGCCATTAATCAGCTTGTAGATGGAATGGGGGCAAAGGCAGCGCGAATGTGTTCAATAATCGATCGCAAGGACAGGAATTCCTATGTTAACATTAATTGACATCAGCTATGTTTGAAACCACCACCAGTTGGTAGACAAACTGGAGAATCGTGATAAAACATCCTGAGGACTGGTTATTTTTTTTTTTTCAGTCCGGTATAGAACGTAAAACGCGTCCACCCCATCTCGCTTCCTCACTTCGGGTCTGTGCCGTCTCTTCTCGTTCGCAAGGGTGATACTTCGCCCTCATCATACCAGGAGAATTAAGCCACACTGAGAGGAAAGACGGTTCACTGGCTTGCGTTGCGTTGAGGAGACTCTGCACAACCACGTTACGGGGTCCAAAACTGGCTGCGAGAACAAGATCTGTCCTGATAAGGCGCCAGGTGGGCTCGTCTTGAAAGTCATATCCGACGGCATTGACAACTGTTGGGTACACCGTTGAAGTTGGAGTTGTTGGACAAATGAAGAGCCCAGGATAAACGGTCACACGGCTTCATCTGGCCAAGGTCTGACCGCTTCATATGCGCATGAAGTGTAGTTTCTGATTGAGCAGCCGTCGCATTTGAAGTGTGCCTGTACACGCTTGCACCAGCGAATAATAAGCGGTCACACATAAGGCCGTGATTGGTGTCACACCCTTTAGCTTAGACTGACTGTTTAAGGATCACATGCGCTCTGGAGTATATATAAAGTAGGAATTGAAGCGCCGGGAATTGTGCGACTAAAAATTGCAGTAGAGATATTGGCGGCTGTATCCTCAGCTCCTGGCCAATGAGAGCTGGTGGAGCTGTGACGGCGATGAGGCAGCGGGCGATGATTGCCAGGTCGCGGTCAGCTGTGTTTCCATCAGCTAATCCCGGCGCCTGGGTGGTGGTAGGACGAGTGGCGCACTAGAAAATGTCGAGCGAGCATGTGCAACAGCAATGATGTCTCTCGTTTATAGATGCAGAGAGGCTGAAAAGGGCAGGGGTCTGTGTCCTTGGTAGCCATCTTGTGTCGTAGGTATCAGACACCACCTTGCATCTCTTGACGATAAGTCTTAGACATGCGTGCATGTTGGAATCCGCGTCGGCCGTCCCCACCGGCGGCGTTCTGGAGCACCTCCAATGGCCGCTGGAGAGAATGTCTTTGATTGCCGCTCCGTTGTGTGGGGACCCCGGCTTCAGGTCTCAAGCGTGTGGCGTGTGGGTGAGCGGGTTGAACGAGGAGGCAACGGAGGGTGTTGCTTCAATGAGATGCTGGTGGTCGCATTGTGAGAGGCTCGGAGATGAGCCCTCTCGAGGCAATAAGGCGGCAGCACTATCTACTAAGAGCATGTAGTAGGTATTAGTGGTAGCATCGTGTAGCAGAATCAGGATGAACCGGCCGTAGTACATACGAGCACCTCCATGCTTGAATCTGGCCAGCCGGGGGCTTTTTGTCTGCTGTTGGCACCCCGGTTCGTTGGCTACAGGGGCCTCTGTGCCATTGGCCAATTCCCATTTTGCATTGCCCCTGTCAGCCACTTTTCGCGTCTTCCCACCCCAAGCCTGAAGCAGGCAAGTCTCTTGCGTCGGCTTCCGCTAAGATCAGAGGAGAGCTCAGTGTCAGATCAGGACAGCCTCTCGAGCCTCTCGGCGATGGTGTTTTCTTCTTTTCCCTCGAGATTGGCATCTGCATCTGCCACGCAAGAAAACTGAAGCTCAAGGTTTGGAACAGCTCGACGTCATCATGCTGAGGCTGCAACTTGATGCAGACAGCCCGGCGGCATCAGGCCAGACGCCCGCCCCTTAGCCCCCTTTTCTCGATGCCATTGAGTTGGGCGAGTGATTCGTAGCACCGCACGAGGCATCCTTTTGCCTTGTTGCTCTGCGGGCAAGCTGCACGAGTTAAAATTAACACCAAGACTAGTAATCCGCAATATTGTATGCGTAACGACGGCCGTCCCCCCTTGATGGCAGCGGCAGCGAAGAGAGAAAAGAGCCAGAACAGAGACGGCGAGAGGCCGACGAGCTCGAATCCTGGCGCGCTCAGCAAGCCGTGCACTGCGCACCCACCATCAGCGAGAGCTGCATTCCGGTTGGCTCTCCGCGGACCCCAGGGCTCACTTCGCCGGCGCCGCTGTCGTTCAGGCGCTTCTTGTGATGAGATTGGCAAGGCCTGCGGCTGCGGGCACCAACCGAGCTCCCTTACCTGCGGTACCAGCAGCATACATACTATGTAGTACCTAGGCTAGGTACTGTGCCGTGCCTGGCTTGGGCTTGGCAGATGAAGCTCTGCTATTTTTGCACTAATCTTGTGGCTGCTTCCTTGTTTCCTCGGTGGGGCGGTGATCAACTCCCGGCTCGGTGCTCCAAGCGCTGCTGCGGCTACGCCTGCTCCTGCTGGTACGACTTGTACAACATGTCTGCACGACGTGTACAGCGCAGTACCGCCGCATGTAGCCCGTACGCGGATGCGGCGTATCCACCTATGGCGCATCCCCGTACTCGCTACTGAGGCAGGTACGGCGCGCTACAGAGAGCACGTACAGCAGGTACCAGGCGTACAAGTAATACACAGCACCTGCTGTTGCCGGCCGCCAGCGCTGGATGAAGTTCTCGTCTGCCATGCCATGCCGTTGCAAGTAAAAGCGGTGCTCGAGTCTTACGTGCGTGTGCCGGCACTCTGCTTTAGTGCCTGCTCTGCTATGCTTGGCTTCACTGGCCTCCCATCTCCCATCTTCATATCTACATCTACATCCCCCTCGCTTCGTCTCGCTTCGCCGCTCTCCTCTCCTTCTCATCTCCTTCCATCATCCTTCTCTTCTCCCCAAAGACGGCTCCCCGTACTCGGTAGTTCTGGTCCTGCCCACTTCCTCCGGGCCCTGCAGGTCAACCCTTTCTTTTTCCTATCCCTGCCGACGCCTCGAACCGTCATCTGTCATATTCTAGAACGTCTTCTGCCGATAGAAAAACGCAGCTATAGCTCCCAGCAAGCTTGTCGGATCCTCACAGCTTCCTTTGTCCCAGCGAATCAGAAACCCTCGCTGCGTCATCGCGGGCATGGTTTTGTCGAGCTTCTAAAGGGTCAACAGAGGCGGAAGCGAGTCACTCGCCCACCGCCACTCTTCCTTCTCCATCACTGCCTCCGCCGTGGCCCTGTGCCCTGCGCGCAGTCAATCAGCTGAGGACTTCTCACCAACGCTCCTTGGCCAGCTCCGCTCATACTTCTGAGCTGCTCCTTGCCTGATTCAAGTTACCTTCACCTTCACCTGGACACCGGCTGAAGGGTCCTATCCGCAATGGCAGATGCTAAGATGGAGGCAAACGGCAATATCGTTGCTTTTGAAGGCCATCCCGACGTCGTATCGACTCAGCTCCGACTGCTGCCAACCTCGCCTCAGATCCTCATTCTTCCTACAGTCCAGTCTTACATCGCCAATGATGATAATGAGCAGGCCTTTGAAGTGCGGTCGTATATTCGAAAGGTTCATGATGCCCTGACCAAGCGCCATGAAGCCGCGCGCTGCTTTCTCCAAGGAGCGACCCCGGTGAACAAGCGACTCGCATTCGTCAACGGCGGCACGCCGAGCGCTCAGGCACTGTGTATCAAAGCAATTATGAAGCATGAGACTGGTGGAGATAGAGTTGAAGCGGAAGCCGTCTACGCCCAATTAGCGAGAGATGGATTGGCTGGGCTTGAGGCTAAGAGCCGAATTCACAGCCCGGTAGGCTCTGTCGGCGACGAAGCAATGTTCGACGAAGAGCTCCACGATCCCATAACACGGGCCATGAGAGCTGCTGATGCTTTGGATCGCCAGACTGCCAATCTGCAGCCCGGTGATATGCTCGATCTCACCTCATCTACTCGACCACGAAGCTTGAGCTTACCGTTATATGGCTATTCGGATGGCTTTGGCGACGCAACTCCTTTTTTTCTCTTTGGCGCACACATTGACGACGATGAAGTCATAGAGGACGATCCCCCTCTAGCTCCTGGAGCGCCAACTTTTGCATTAGTTGACTACAACCAACCATCAAAACAAACACAAACCCCGCTCGACCCTGCAGAACTACCTTCAGCTTCACCGAGCTGCGCTGTCAAATCACAAAGTCGATCGACTCTGGGAGTAAATCACGACACTGAGATGCTTTCCCCCACAACCGAGACTTTCAATATTCGCACAGACGATCATGCCACCCATGGAGAGCCCATCATCTTCAATAGGAGTAAATCGGTATCGAGCTTCAAGGGACCACTTCCAAGAGTGAAGTCCTTAGATAGAATCTACCCGCTCAGTGCCAAGTTGAGGGATCTTTGTATTCCGGGGGCGTCTTCAGAAATAAGTATAGACTCTGCTACTCCTCGCCGCTCACACTCTTTCATGGTTGCTAGCGATCCTAAGCCTCCAATTATTCGAAAGCTAAGCTATATCGACCGACGAACGGTAGCATTTAAAAGTCGTCGACCAACGGCCACTGTCGACCTGCCTCATGATAGAAAGGTGAACGCAGGGCAAAGCACCGCTGGCATGTTTCACACTCATCTTGGAACCGACATTGCCATTTCGGCTGAGATGCAATTTCAGCCAATACTACCATGGGTGGAAGATTTGCTGGTCTACTTCAAAGACAAGACGCCAAACTTGTTGCTCTCTCTGATCATCAAAGCCTTTCAAACTGGCAATTACCCTATATTATCGAGTTCCACTCCGAGGTCCTCCAATGCCACACATACAACGACGGCCTCTCATCACCTGCCGACTGCCCTTGGCCAGTCATTGAACAATAGGTCTCACGAAACTTCTGTGTTGAGCATGACAGATGATGATTATGACCCCTTTGCCAATTCACAGCCTCACCAGCCGCTTGGGAGCGAACAAATCGGTCCAATTGTCAATGTCATTCGTCCTCCAACGCCAGCACAAACACCGCCCCCTTGCAAAGCAAAAGAAAATAAAGTTTACGAATTCGAAATTGGTTCTGGTCAAACTGCTGTCGCCATCCAGAATTCGCTTCGGTCAATTCTCAGCGTATATTTCCCTCCCGAAGCTGACGGCTACCGGCAATTCCAATTTTCTCTCCTTCCAGAGTTTGATGGGCTATGGAAGCCTGTATTTAGAGAATCTGAGTCTAAAGGCTCCCAAAGAGAGAACAGCAGAAAAGTTGACCACATCCTAGCAATAGGATCTCAACAAGGCGTGGACAAGGTATACTCATCAAAAATTATCAAGCAGTTGGAGACAATCGGGACAAAGTCAAGCGACCGCCAGGGCCGCAGCGGTCGGGTAGATTTCCGGTAAGCCTTTTTGGTGTATATCTTGTGCATGTTATACGGTAGACTAACGGCTTGGAAGATATTTGCTTGCCAATGCAATGCAAGCATTCACTGCACTACCCCTAACGAACCAGACTTCGGATAACCCTTTCACCAATTCGTATCTTCTGGCGACGCTTCTAATTCCCCATCTTGAAACGTACTTGGCACTCCACTCGGAGATTCGGTATCTTTTATTAGAGTACCCTCCAGAACACTTGCCTACGGTACTGGCTCTGCAAAAATTAATAGGCGTGGAAATGATCAAGGTAGCTCAAATAGTCGATTCTACCAACAAGGACCGTCTACCTTTTACTCAGATTGGAGGTCCTAGCACTGGGGCCAAAACGGAAGCCAAAACACCTAACCTATCCTCGCGCGCATCACATTCGGAATTCACAGTTTCTAATGCGAATTTCTTGCTCACATACACGGCTACCGCTAAGGACATTGCGAAATTTGTTTCCACTGTCTGGAACATTCAAACTGAGACCGGTGACTCTGAGTCCTCGTCACAAGTGAGGAAATTGAGTAGCAAGAAGCCGAGACCAGCACCACTGGATGCTTCCTTCACCAAGTTCCCTCGTTCTTCAGGCTCGCTTCATAGCAAACCGTCGCCTACCTCGGCGATTGAATCTTCTAGCCCCGGATCTTTGACGTCGTCCTCCCGGCCGCAGTCATTCATAGACATCAAAACGCCCAAGTCGGATACCATGTATAGCCGAGCCTTCTCTCGACGGCGGCTGTTCCGCAGCGACTCAGCATCAATGACTACCTTTGATCACGGTAGTGACGATAGCGAATTGGACCTGGAAGAGCGGAGACTTATGCCAATGTTTATGAAATCGACAGAGCGTCAGGGTAACACCCGAAAAGCCCTCAAATTTCTCGGCTTGGCCTAATCAAGATCTCATATGCTGGGCGTTGTGCTGCTCTTTTAGTAGCTGTTTCTCAATTTGTTTTCTTTTTTTTTTTCGCACCATTTCATCACAGTTTGTGATTTCTTTAAAGCGTTGTCAGGCTAAGTCCTAGACTACTTTCATTGCTCGAACGAATTATGAACCTATCTGCGCGTTGACTTCTGTCCCCCACCCTCCCCTTTTTATACCAACGCGTGCTTCTTTATTACACTCCTCCCTTTCTTACCTGTTAATACACAAGTGCTGTTTTTTATGCCCTTTATTCAAAATTTTATTATCATAGACGGATATCCGGAGCGATTTGGGCTGTACCAGAGTGCAACATGAAAACACGGAGATAGATAAATTTACTGCAAGATAAGAAGAGTTGGCAACCAGGAGTTAGAACGCAATTATGGCTTGATTAGATAGCTGTTTATTACTTGAAATGGCACTAGGTTTGTCAAGATAATAAAGAAAGACAATATTGACCAAAATCGGATTAAACTGAAGGTGGCTGACCTTGTATCTTGGGCACAAAATAACAACGAATAATTGAGTAGTGCGTATTAAGCGGATACATGTTGCTCAGTGACTTGCACGACTCGGACTTGGAGTAAACAATCTGCCAATGAAGACATATAAACTGACTATTCTACTCCGTAGAACTCATTGTATTCGATAGTGAAATAAAATCCGGGAGACTATCCGAATATTTACCATGAAGGGATACTCGGTAATAAAAGGACAGGGTATTGGCCAAGTTATCCCTATTGCTGCCCTAAACTTACCGTGCCCTGCTCCAGTATATTAATTTCCATGCTTCGTAATAGATAGTAGTATAACAGAATTTATTAGAAGCAATAGACTTTGCTATTGCCGTTTAATTTATATGGAACGAACCCCTTCCCCCCCCCCCTTTATTTATAACTTGCAGCACCCGGCCCTTGTCATGGTGAGCAGCGAGCTTACATGTACTTTTATCGCCCATCGTCTCGCGGCCAAGTTACCAAGAATTGGAGTGCTCTATACGAAATCCAACGTAGGGAAAAGGGACCCTTGTGTCATTTTTTTTTTTTTGGCATCTCACCTCTTACTGCGTTTTGATGGACTGGCTAGCTGAGTGGCAGATGCACTATTCGTGCGTAGAGATAGTCCTAAAACAATCACATTCACCCAGGATATTCGAGAGATGGGAGATCGAGATGGAAATGAAAGAGGGGGAAAAAAACCGGCAATTACGTGCAACAAAGGAGCAGCAGCACAATAGCGGTAACCTGAAATGATACGCAATTCCCCTGTGTATTAATGGTACCCCCGTTCTCGTGAAAGAAGGGTTTAAGAAAGACGAAAAGAGGCACCGGAAAGCCTTCCGGAATTTAGCACCATAGAAAAAAGCAGAAAGCGACGAAGATAGCGAACAAATAATACCAACAAAAAAAAACCAAAGCTTGCTGCAAAAAGGCCATAATTTCCATAAACGTCCATTATTCTCCCACATTGAAATCTCCGTGGAAGGGAAGTCATTTATGGGGGGAAGGGAAGGCGTGAAAGTACAGCTCAGCGCACCCGTAAGGTCTTCATCTCTCGTGAAATTTGCGCCCTGATCCCGATTGTGTATCACGTCCTTCCTCTCGTATGACCGTCTCTCCCATTCCCATCCGACCCTAATGTGTCCTAAAAAGCAAGCGAGAATGCCACGTTGTGTGTGCGTTTGTCTGAAGGGGCGAGATCCAACAAGACATGAATGTAATCTATGCGCAGAAATGGGGGCAAACTGAAACCCTAGAATAGCGGAGGAAAAAGGTCATAACAAACATTGATCAGTCGTTTCCCAAGGACGTCACACTGCTCTAAACATCCTGTCACCGGACTCGGCCACGACAAAGCGAAAACACACGAAACTAGAGCGATAAAAGTCGTTTAACAGCAGCTGCTGCTGGACGAGTTGCCGACACCCTGGCCTTGGCCAACGTGCACGCTGGGTTTCGTGTTGTTGGCAGTCGTGGTGCCCATGCGCTCCTTGATCTGGCGAGCCATGGTCAGGAAAGCCTGCTCAACGTTGCTGGCGTTCTTGGCGGAGGTCTCGAGGAAGGGGATGCCCAGGCTGTCAGCGAATTCCTAGACAGGGTTGTCAGCTTCAGGCTTTCACGAGGCACGTGTCTTGGTTTGAGGAGCGGCAGCCTGGAGAGCGCCAGAGACTCCCGCTGCAGGTGACCTGTGGTGGTTCCAGGCTGCAACTCAGACGCTAACTTACCTTGGCAACGGAGTACTCGACAACCTTCTTATCCGACATATCGCTCTTGTTGCCTACGAGCAGCTTGTTGACGCCCTCAGTGGCGTACCGGTCAATCTCCTGGAGCCACTGCTTGACGTTGTTGAAAGAGTCCATATCGGTGACATCGTAGACAACGCAGATGCCGTGAGCACCGCGGTAGTAAGATGAGGTGATGGTTCGGAAACGCTCCTGGCCGGCAGTATCCCACTGGAAATCAAAGAGTCTTAGCCCCGCTGTGTCGACAAGCTTTGGTAGTCTAGAGATGCACTACTTACGATTTGCAGCTTCACGGTCTTGCCATCGAGCTCTATCGTTCGGATCTTCTGCACAGGGTGTTAGAAAATGATAAGCTCGTGAAAGTGGGGGTCCGGTCAACGTACAAAGTCAACACCGATGGTGGAGATGTAGGACTCAGTGTAGGTATCGTCGGCGAATCGCAGCAGCAAGCAAGACTTTCCAACACCGGAGTCACCGATGAGGAGGAGCTTGAAAAGGTAATCGTATCTAGAGATTGGAAATAAGAGAGTCGGGGTCAGCGATCGCTTCTCCTTTGCAAGGAACAAAAGGGCGCCGTTGTCATGTCTTCACATCGTTACTCCATCGCGGGGACGGACAGAACGATGGATATGAGGCTTCCGAGGGATGCAGATTGCGTTGGACTCTGTTCGGCGGATATGTTAGCATGGATTAGACAGACAAGTTTCAGGAGAATATGGCCATCAAAGGGCAGGCAGGGCCGCGTACCACTCAGGGTTCATGATGACGGTTTGTGTAGGCGGAAGAGGATGCTGGTAAAAGCAGGACAGAGTGAAGCGGCGAGAATCAGTGGCGGAGGCTTCAAGTTGCGATCGAAATGGATGGTTGGCTCGAGGTCAAAGGAGCGCAAGGTCTCGAGTACGTCAGGGAAAGATGACGGCTCGTTGGCTGGGCTGGGGATGGGATGGGCAATGGGATGGGCGGTGGGCGCGCTGGGTCACGTGCAGGGGCCACCTGTCACAGAGAGAGGCTCATTTCCAAGTTATTATTAGCGCTTGATTGGTGATGGCACGGGGGGCTTGCGTTAGCACCAAATGATTAAGTGCCTCGGATGCAGTGCGAGTACCTCTACTTGCACACTGGCGGACATGGCATTCACTGTTGCTTACAAGGTCAGTACCTGGGTATGTTGCATGTGTAGGTACCTAGTAGGCAGGGTCGTCTGCACGATAGGGACCAAGGCATCACTGCCAAAGTGCATGTACAGAAGCACCAGACTGAGTTGTAGCTGCAGCGGGTTTAGTGCCTGATCGTATCTGGCTGAGGCTACAACATACATACTAATGTAACACCAGGCATGTATACCTACATCAGCAATGCCATGACTTCACCTTTGCGCTTCTGCTGCATCATTCTCGACCAGACGAAAGAAGATTCTCCTCAGCTCAGTATGACCTTGACCAAATCCAAATTCTCGAGAATTTTTTTTTTTTCTCCACATAGTGGCCTGTGGTGTTATGATACTTGACAGGAATACGAAGCGCTGGCCACGACATCAATAGACCCTGTGCACGTTAGGCCAGGCGCGCATGTGATTCGAGCTTTTCCAGCGTTCCAGCTCTCTCTAAGAAAATCCTGCGTCACCTGAAGAATTGCGCTCATGACCGGAGTTGCAATCAACAAGTGTCATTTTGTCGATGATACAATCGTTAGGACTTTTGAAATAGTTTTGGCTTCCCAAATACAAACTGGTACGGCAATCCATATTCCTCAAAATATGAGAAATAGAAGTAAGAGCAAAAGTCAAAGTCGAGCAACATATCGAAAACATCCCGCATCTACCCGTAGCCCTCGTACGTCAAGTCCTTGGAGCCTCACTGTGAGAATATGCTCCTTCTCCATCCACATCAGCATACTATGGCCCTGGGAAGATGCAATATTCCAATTCTCCAGTCTGCTTCATCTATTTCATCCCTGTTCCTTCTGCGCTTCCGCCAAAAAAAAAAAAAAACCAAGCCGGCAAATCCCCAAACATCGTGCCCCGGAATAGCGGAACGGCCCCGCAATGGATGGTCCCCTAAGGACAAGCCCACTGTATCGTATGTAGCCTTGTAAGACCTGCGGGAAGAGCACTGAGAAGAAATGCCGGCCCAAAAACTGGCGCCGTCCAATGCCGATGGGGAGATCGGTGCCGTAGATTTCCTGTTTTCGTTGTTGGCAAAATTTTCTCTTTTTTTTTTTTTTTTTGCTCCAGAAAGCTCTTCCCGAAACAGCTGCGACACAAAAATCCTCTCCTGGCCCTCATGCAGCTCCTCCCCAGGAGCGCCTCCAGCACCCAATGGCCGCGCCCCTGCGCAACTCGTTGACGAGCCATGCCGGCCGCTCATGCTCATGCTTCCGATCTTGGCCCGGCGCTTCAGCCCGTGGCATCGCCAGCTTCGGCCCAGCCAATGCCCCGGCGCAGTCTTTGACGGAGAGTCTTTCAGAGAAATTGCAGTCAGATGACGATGCTCTGCTGCTGCTGCGGGAAAAAGTAGCATCTGCGCCACGGGATAGCTTGTCGAGGACGCACTTTGAGAGCTCTGGAGCTGTGTGGATGGGAGGCCGGGAGACGCCGCCGGATCCCAACAAAGCAAACCTCGGGAAGAGTAAGTAGGACCAAAACACGCAACCTTTTTCGTATTCTTAATAGATCTTTAAGAATTAAAAAAAAGATCCTTGAGGAGAGCTTTTCCAGACTAATTGCTACCAGCCCTGCGAATCCTCCAAGAACGTCTCCCGACCCTCCTCCAGTCTCCCCTCCCGCAAGACATTCTCGCCCCCAACATCTCGCTCCAGCTATTTCCCTCCACGCACCCTCACCTCCCCGTCGTCTCCGGCCGAGTCGCCTACAACGCCGCCCTCTGGACCTCCCCCATTGCATGGAACCGCGTGCCCATCATCGGCAACGTGAAGCTGGAGATCCTCGCCGAGCGCATGACGTCAGAGCCTCTGACCTTTTTGCCCAGACGGGCCGGCGCCATTCCAGAGCAGCTCGTCGTGCGCTGGTGCGAGAAGCGCAGGGTCAAGGATGACAAGGCGAAGAAGTCTGGCGGGAGCTCGTTGCCTTGGTTGAGGCTGGCGAGGGGCGTCGACCCGAACAAGGCCTTTACGGGGCTGTTCATATTCGACTTTGACGCCGAGGGGCGGATCTTGACGCATACCATTGAGCAAGCTCAGGAAGGCGGCGACTGGGAGAAGGGCATGGGTGCCAAGTTTGTGGGCCTGACGGATTGGCTGCTTGGCGGCATGACGAGGGATCCTGGCGCTCCGATACCAATGTTTGAGAGGAAACGAGGTTGTGGTCTCCAATGATGGTGGGAGGAGGAATGCTCTGGAGCCGTGTATAAAAAAGAAGAGAGGAAAAGAACGACATTTGGTCTTTCATGGCGTTGATGGATGGCGCGCCTGTATTTTTATTTGCTGTCTTCACCTTGCCTGGTGTGTTATGCCCAAGGCACGAGGTGGATGTGTTGTAACGATTAAGATGCCTGCTTAGATGGCACGTGTATATCTCTTGTATATTCCTAGCAACTCTCTACTGCTATTGAACCTCTTCACGACTGATCAAAAATATCAATTGAAAATTCGTTTATTCTCAGGGCAGCATGTCATCAATCGAACACTGTAATACATGATAAATATATGCGACAAAAATCGGCGCTGACGATGGATTCAACGCCTCTAGTTCATTCAATGTAAACATAACGTGTATGAAAACTACTTCCTTCTCTACCCGCCAGCTCATCTCTCGATTTGGGGCATTTCACAATATTCTGCCGCCGAAATCGTCTCTGCCGCAGCGCGCACAAACAAATAAAATAAAACGGAAAACAAAAGAATTCCCTGCTGCCGGCTTCTACCTTCTCCCTTCTCCCTTCTCCTATTCTCATCTCTTTTTTGCCTCCTTTCTTGGTTCCATAACGCTCTCTCTCTCTCTCTCTCTCTCTCACTCTCATGCGCACGCACGTCGTATACTTGTGTGGTTTCTTAAAAGAAAATGTCACCCAGATTCTCGCCCTCAAACCCGATCTTGACGAGCTTCTTCAGCCGAGACTTCTCCTTGGCCTTGTCCGCCGCCTTCTTCGCCTCGGCGAGCTTCTTCACAACGTCCACTTCCGCCAACTCATATCCCGGAGGCGCATCGTCGTCCTTGTCGAGGTCGATTTCTCCTAGTAGCAGCACATTCTCGCCTCTCACAAGAAATATACCGTGAGGGATGTCTGCGTAGTAGCCGTATGGGTGCTGAGCGTCATGATTGTCTACTCTGGGAGCGAATATCCTCTCCGTCGTTGATTGGAGAACAATGTTGGCGAACTGGTCCCAGCTTCTTAATACGCCAATCAATTTTCTTCCGTCACGCAAAACCACCATGAGTTTTTCTACAGTGAAGACACCTGTTAGCACAGTTTCCCCTCTCTCCTCTCCCTTGCCCGCTTTCCTTTCGACTCCTAAGGGAAGAAGTCCGTACTGTCTGTGAGATCCAAAAGCTGCGCAGCCGTAGTGAACATCTGTGGCGGCAACTGAGCAAAAGGCTGCTGGGCACCCGGTCCGACAGGCGGAGGGGCATCGGAAATGGATAGGTTTTCCATTATAATAGCATGGGCAGGAAGTGTCGTATGAGCGAAGAAGCAAGGCGTGGGTAAATCTGAATCGTAATGTCGGGCTCAAGGGTCCATGGAGACGTGGTTTTGTTTTGTTATGGGTGTTTTCTCTCTTCCTTCGCCTATAAAAACATGGCCAACATGGAATTTTGGAAGCGCGACGAAGCTTGTATGGAGCAAACGCAATTGGGAGTCCAGCCGAGAGACGGAGTAGGTTGCGATAGCCTGCGGCTGTGGCCCGGGATGCGGCGTGCAGGGCTTATCGATAAACGGATATCACGTGTCAAGCCTTGGCTGTCAAGTACAGGTACGCAGCACAGGTACGTCAGAGAACCGTCGGTGGAATGTATTGGCAAAAAGGCCAAAAGGGTCTAATGCACTAGGTAATACCGGCTGCAGGTTTTAAGCTGAAGAACCTCAATGAACCAAAGGAACGTACAATGTTGCAGCAGTCGTAGATGGCGGGGCAGTGGTGTTTAGATTTGGGTGGTGGTATAAACTGAGGGGCAGAAATTGCTACCGATATTGCTGAGCTGGCTGAGAACCGACCTGCTTGGATGTGATCTTGTGCATTGTACAACTGTATACCTACTAGTATACCAAGGTACCTATGCAATTGAAGGTGCTGCTACTCGTACCTCTTAAGAGTGTAGTAGGTCCCTCGTACCTCTCGCCAAAGACGCAGCTTCTTGGTACTGTAACCATATTCTACAGCTACTAATCTAGTAACTGTTGAACTTCATTTCGGAGACGTAGCCATCTCCCAGATACCGATCTGCATATAAGCGGCCAATTCTATCAGGCCGGCGGCTAAAGCTACAAATCGAATCAACGCGCAAATCTCCCCCGAAGGTTTGCTGATGCGGCGTGAAAACTAATCGTTGAGTCATAAGGTAACTCTACCGTCCCATGTACTTGGGCCTGTCAACGAATGAGGGGTGTCTGGGGCACAGAGCTAAGGCAGGTACCTAGCTTGTGCAGCACACGACAAGTTGCCCTCGTCATGCCCATGGCAAATCAATTAATTCTATACTCTAAAAATCAAGTTCTCAAACAGCGAGAGGCATATAGGAAAGGAAAACAGGAATCGTGAGACTAGCTATCTCTCTCCGTCGACCGTTGAACGCGGTCCATTGTGGGAAACAATTAATTTTTGTGTGTATCCTATTTCAAGAGCAGCTTGTGCCTTGCAGTACACCAATAATATGCCCGCGCCCCTTGTCTTTGAAATCTCTTTTTCTGCGTGGATGCTCTATTGTAAAAAAAAAAAAAAGAAGAAGAAGAAAAGAAAAAAAGAAAAAAAAAATAGATAAATAAAACCTGCCGACAACGCCTGAGCCGAATTCAAAGGCATCCTACCCTAAATGGTTAGCAGTTTCTGTATGTTAAAAAAAAGGCCGTGATGTAGGCATTGCAGTCGCATAGACGACCGTCATCAGCCAGAGAAGCAAGCAGCTTCCATCATCACCGCCTTCTTCCTCTCCGTTTCTCTTTCGCTCTTGGACCATCTCCTTCTGTTCCGAGCTGTTTGCTGTGTATGGTCTGCTTCCATGGCTGGTGATGGTGTGGGTTGTTGCAGGGACACGTCTAGAGGCCAGGAGAGGGGATATAAATGTACAAGGAGAAATAAAAGGGGCGATTTCTTTGCAAAGAAAAATTGACAAAGAGTGCCCTGGCTCATGTTCGGTTCATCGAAGACCGATTTAAGGCTTCTTGGAGCTCCGGCCTGTTTTGGAGAACCTCAATTGCCTTTGTATACGTGAACCATTCGCGCTCGCGCTTGTCCTTCTCCGGCCAGTCGTCCAGCTGCTCTACAACGGTGCCCTGGTAGAAGTAGTAGCGGGAGCGGTCCTTGGACGTCTTTGGCGGTCGTTTCTCCTCGAAATTGCCCAAGTCGTAGTCAATGCTGAGCGTGATGCCAGCCTCTTCCCAGGCCTCCCGCACGGCAGACTCCTGGCACGACTCATCCGACTCCCATCCTCCCTTGGGCAGGACCCAGCCCTTGCGCCGGGTAGACTGAATTAGGATGACGTAGTTGCGGTCTGCGCTGAGTGGCACGACGCCGGCGACAAGTCGTTCTCCTTGCGAGTTGTACCCTGCAGGAGGGAGATGGGTCAGTGGGATCCCGAGCTTCGGGCGTCGGCGGAGGCGAGGCAGGCAGCAAGCAAGCAGGCAAGCAGAAAGCAAGACAAAGCAGCGACTGGCAAGGCAAGGAACGACAAGAGTGCGCACAGGACAACCAAGATGAGATGGGGGGGGGAGAAGAGGGAGCAGAGCAGAAGAACTCAGTGTGAATAAGGGGCTGCGAGGTGGGCAAAGGGGGACAGCGTCTTGGGAGTATCAAAGTGCAATCCGCGCTGAAGATGGAACTTACGTTGTTTGCTCCGCCCGGTCCGCGACTGCATTGGCAAATTGTTGGAACCCTCGACGCTAGACGCCGAGCCCGACATATTGGCAGCTGTCGTCGCCAGCGTTCTCTCTGGTTGTCTGTGAAAGCTGAGAAAGGCCTTGCGATGATTGGCCGGCCCGCGCGTATCGGCCGCGGGAGGGAAAAAAATTAGAGGGAGAAAGAGAGCGAAGTTGCCGGAAACAGGAGACTTTCACCGGCAGGTCGAGAGCGTCGTCTGGCGGAGAGGCGGGGGTAAAAATCACAATGACATGCGCTGCATTGTCATCTAAAGAAGGCAGAAAAGAAAAGGGAAATGTGTTGTTTATTCTCGTCTTTTTCCCCCGGGTTGAGGAGATAGTGAATAATGACCAAGACCAAGAGTCGTGGGGGTTGGACGACGGATGCAGGTCTAGGCGGTGCCTGGCTTTTTTTTTTTTTTTTTTCCTGCTGCACGGGTTCGCGGAACGAGATGGCGTTCTAGACAGGGTCCGGAAGCGATGTGTATGTAACTCGGCGCCGAGTCGGGGAACCGCAAGCTGGACACGGATGGGACGAGAGCATAAGCAGGATTAGCCGCAGTGGCAATGGGCCGCGCAAATATTGGACGCAGCGCACCGTAGCCGTTGAGCTACAGCATGTACCTGGAGTACCCGGGGTCCAAGCTATTGGTTGACTTGCTGGTGCTGGTACCTGGAGCGCAGGGAGCGGAACCCACGCAAGGGCTTTTGCAAGGTTGGGGCCAAACGCGGAGACGGGGCCAAGAGAGTTTAGCTTGTCGCGCACCGGCGGCACTGGAGCTTCTGCTGTATGCAGTGTGCTGCACTTGGACCGTACGTGTTGCTTTGTCACCAGGCTGTACACACCCAGTGCCTTGGTAGTGCTACCAGGTAGGAGGCACTGGCGGTATCAAAGGGACACAAGAGTCTCTGTACCGAGACATGTTCCAGGCTGCTAACCTACCCGAGACAACAGGCTTCAGCCGTGCTGGCCGAACTCTCAACCGGCCGTCCTGGTGGTGGTCGTGCTAATAAATAGCACTAGGGGCTCGAAGCCGGAGACGCCCGCATGAACTAAGACTCAGGCGACTGGCGGCGCTGAGGTGGCACGGGATAATGTCGGTTTTGATGCTGGGAAAGGAGCAGCAGTATGTTTCTGCGTGATTGGCTGTAAGATACACGACCAGAAATTAGTGTTAAAATACTACAACACATAACTAAGAAGACTTTAATAATTTTTATTACCCTTCTTCCGTTTGCCTCTCCACAGTGGTCGGTTTGGATAGGGGCCTGAGTTGTTAGTAATGGAGTTGACCAAACGGGATGCTCGTGGACTGAATTCTGCAATTAGGATTAGCCTCACAGCTTTACCGAAGCTGGATCAGACAACTCTATTTACTTTGATCGAAAAACTAAGAAGCTACATATAGAGTCCGTTTACCTTTGCTTAGAAGGTTATTCACAAATACGATGATCTACCAATGACGACTAATCTTCTGACTCCAGCATATACGCTTCATCTTTAAAGCTGCCTCGTAATCTGGAGGTGCACATTGAGAGTTTGATAGGAGAGCACTGCATGCCTCAACCCCCCTGCTTTCCCGTGCAGGCGAGCTGCACCCGATCCCTAGCTGCCGCTCCTTCAATGACGGCGGCTAGGACTTTGGTATTCTGTACTATAACGTACGGATCCTACCAGAGAAAAGATCACTGCGGAGATGGGCGGCGGATGATATAAAATAAAATAAATGATTGAGGCTGTGAATCCATGGTTTATGCGTCAAGACAGGTGACCAAGTTTACAGGCAGCAGCTTGCAAAGTATGACTACATGATATGTAGGCAATGGAGGACTGGTAATCTGTACCTCATGGACATGTCTCTTCGAGATTTGCCCTTTAGGCACCGCCAGCTAAGCTGATCTAGATGAGCATCGGCAGTGGTGACGTACTTGGAAGCAACTGCCTACATGTACCTAGTATACACGTTTTGCTGGAATTTTGCCCAGTCTAGAAGCTTTCCATCCAATCACCAAGAATAGATACGCCGTCTCATGATTTGGCCCCATGGAGAAAGGGTCGCATGAGACGTCCCGCTGCTGATAGATATCTATTACTAGGCAAAAGCTGCGCGCGTGCATAATATCTGTGCCATGTCGATAGTATTACCTACTATACAGGTAGATAGTAGTCGTAGGTACATGTAGGAGCTGAGAAATACGGTGAGGAAATCCGTTGGAATTGTGTCTCCCTCCCTTGCAGCCAGAGAAAAAGGATCCAACGAGAGGCAAGAGATTTGCCACGCCTTTTAGGCTTTTGGGGTGAGGCAGTTTTAGTTTCCGGATGCTACCTTATAGGGAGTTTATTATGCATATCAAGAGAGCGCCTTGCTGAATGCGAGGACGGCTTTGACGGCATAAGAGATGCCAGGGAATGTCGAGGGACGCAGCTGAGTTGTCACTTGTCTCCATCTGTCCGCATGCATGTGCCTATTACAGGGATGTAGTGCTGCTGCTAGCACGAATGTCCGTCCTTCAGGATCCAAGCAAGGAGGGCAAGCAAAGCAAGAAAAAAAAAAGCCAATCAATCTAGTGCTATTGCACTTGTATCCGGCTTGCAGTTATACCTGCAGCAACGAGGAGTCCACTTCTTGGTCAAGACGGCACATCAGTTCTTCTTAGTGGCGTCGATAGCTAATGGACTAGGCGGACCGCTGTAGCTGGCGCCATCCCGGTGGCCTCAGCGCCTCGACCCCTCACCCAGTCTCCCCAGCTCGCCCCGCCATGGCAGCTGGACTTGTCGACCTCATCACGGCCGGCTCTCGAGCTGCTCCTGGAGAACCTCTTTTCTTACAGTCCTCTGCGTAGGCGCGCCTGCAGCGTCTCAGCCGTCTCCCCGTCTCTCGATCATGAGCTGCTCTGGCCGTCGGCAGTGAAGAGACCTGGTTCAACACCTGGCCGGACCCCAATCCAGCCAAACAAGCAGCCGTATCCACGCTCGTGTGCTTGAACCCGCTGCGGCGACCAGGCTATCTCTCGTGTGCCGCCTTGTTGCTGCTCCCGCCTCTACTGGCATCAAGGCAGTTTAGATCGCAGACAGACGCCCCACAAAGTTAAATAGCTGCTTGCGACAGCAGCGCGTCATCCGTTGTAGCCGATGCGCAGCTGCTGAGATCAGTCCCAGAGCAGAGCTTCGCCGGCCGCGACGCTTGTCGTTCATTTCCACTCTGTTCTGTGTTATACTTTACCATATCAGCCTGCTTATCAGCCTGCCAGCCTGCCTTGAGAGAGCTACCTATACATCACATCATATACATACCAGTCTATCAATTGCTCGCTCGCTCCCTCTCCTACGGCCGCTACATCTCACGCACCAACTTGCCTCTTCAGGACGACCCGAGGTGCCAAGCGCAGCCATGGAGGAAAACGGTGGTGGGCACACCCCTGAAGACGCCTCCGTCGCCGACGAGCTTATTTCTCCAATTGGTGAGTCAGAAGCTGTTGGTCTCCTTCTCTCTTGTGTGCCCTTGTGCCCGGACACGTGCTGCGTCCAGTGCCTGTCGTTGGCTCGGAGCATTTCCAGTCGCTTTTGGCAAAGACTCTTCCTTGATGCGAACCCCTGTCAGCCTCTTTTTTTTCGCACTACCGCCTGTGTGACCTCGTCCAGAGGCATCATAGCTGTCTTAATCACACGCTTTTATGCCAATCGCTCCGGTTGCCGTTAGTTGGTCTGGCCGCTGCGACCTGAGTGTTTGGCTCCCAATTGTGTGATTCCTTGATATCTCCCTTCCATCTTCTACTGTCACCCCACCGTCTCATCCTTCGCTCACCACTCATGTATCCCACCTCAAAGCCACATGCTGCTTCTCATTTCTCGCCGCAGATCAACACGTATGCCGCTCTAATGAGACTGTTGTTTGAAACTGGTTACTTTGTGTATATTGGCATTTAGCTTCTGTTCCATTTGTTGAAACAGCATCTTGGATTCTCTCTTGCATTTCCATCTTCTTCGTTAGCATTGCACTCTAGCTATATTTTACGCTTCAAACATTGCTTGTCAGTTTTTATGCGAAACATTTTCCGTTTGCAGACCGGTTGATGTTTTCTATCTGTACTAACCAGCTTCACAGGATATACAAATTCCTCAAAATGCGGGTACTGTGGCACCTCTGGACAGAGTGAGTTTCTCATCATCCCTGAATTATACTATTATGAGGCATATCACGGGCGATCTGGACTTTTGCGCCCTGTTGTCTTGAGCTTCCTATAGCTGCTATACTCTCTAGGTGAACCTGATCATTGATTTGCTCGCAAAAGCTAACCTCTTTCTTTGCATACGTAGGTTTTTCGTATTATGCGAATACTGCTTCTCTTAGCCCTGAATTGTATCTCACTCTACTCGATCGCTGCTGGAGACGATCAGGAAAACTATTGTACCGTCCAAATCAGCGCGTTTCTTGTTGCCCTCATTACACTATTCGCTTAGATTCAGATCAGTTTTATCCAACAAGAGGTCAGCGCCAGACCATTAACCGTTTCAATAAACATGTACTTGGCGACAATTACATTAAGCAAGCTGCTCGTCTCTATCCAAGGTCGCGCCAAGAGACGAAGAAGCGTGACAATGAGTTTTCGTTAACAGAGCGCATTCATGAGGCTGAGATTGGTCAAATCAAGACACCGCCTGAGCCAGCTCACAGGTGGACTGTAACGCTCGAAGAAGACAATTTTACTGAGGAAAAGTATCTAGTCTATGAAAATTACCAGCGAGTTGTCCACGGAGATGAGCCATATGAGAGGTCGCCAGAGTCTTTCCGACGATTCCTCTGCGGCTCTCCTTTGCAACGTCGGACCATGGTTGGGCCTGATGGACGGAAGCGCCGCTTGGGTTCCTACCATCAGTGCTATCGCCTGGACGGCGTTCTAGTCGCCATAGGAGTGCTTGACTTATTGCCACAGTGTGTCAGCTCTGTTTATTTTCTTTACCACGAAAGCGTTCACAAATTTGCCCCTGGGAAGTTGGGGGCTCTTTATGAAATAGCTCTCGCGATTGAAGATGGTTACCGGTGGTGGTACCCTGGATTTTACATCCACAGCTGTCCCAAAATGAGATACAAAATAGACTACGGGCCACAGTATATCCTCGACCCGGATACCCTGGAATGGCGGTTTTTGGATAAGAGCATTTTGAATATTCTTGCTAGGGATACTTACACGAGCCTATCTGCAGCACTGGTTGAAGACGTTCCTCCAGAGTCTGACTTGCATGCTACAGACGCTATGAACATGGATGATTCTGCTGGACACGAGCAAAACTCTGTATCTTCAGGCGAGAACTCGGAGGATTCCGATACGGAAGAAGAGAGTGGCATGAGCTATAAATCTCTCTTCCAATCCGGAATGCCAGGTATCCCCTCCGTTGCGGACATGGAAAAATTCGATCTAGATCACATTGTTCTGAGGATTTTTCCCACAGGCCCGCTGTTTGAAACGTCAGACTTGGTCGGTTGGAGGCATGGTAACATGGCAGAGCCGTCAAACGTAAAGCATAGTATTGCGCAATTGATAGCTGCCCTGGGTCCTGATTTGATGGATCGCATATGTTTGGACCTGGTGCGTCGACGAGGCTAATTTTCCTTGGAGACTTTTTTTTTTCCCACGCTGTCTTTATAAGCTCTATGTTTATCATAAGCGTGTTTTACACCCCAAGTTGGTTACCCTGCAAGGAGATATATAGGATATTCTGGACTCCAAAGCGTACTCTTATTCAAATGAATAAGAATTATTTTCTATCAATAATAGATTATGATTCTTACAACTTGATTTCAGTCTGTGCAATACTAGTAGCAGGTCTCACATAGTCCTACTTGTGTATACTTAATAAATGGCGTTTCGGCTATAACTATGCAGATACAAAGCCACGCCAAAGAATGCAAATCAAATAAAGGTACGAGTCTCATTATAGAAAGCAGCTGTACTAAGATGAGCATCAACATAAATGGCTAGGAAACGTAAGCTAGCAGTCATAAGTCTATTGTTTGCATCAAGCTACGCTGCAGTGGCACATCCACCAAGCTTAAATTCTCACATATAATAATATTGCAGCCATTTTATTCGTCAAGGAACAGTACAGCCTGCTTTGAAAACTTCTCGGCGTACTGGTAGTGAAAAGCATGACCGCTGTTTGGGTAAACATGTAGCGTAGCATTGGGTAGCTTCTGCTGAATGTTGAATGAGTTGAGAGTCGGAATCATGAAGTCGTTCTAAAAAAGGTTTTCCCAATTAGTATCATTGCAAAAAAAATTCATGTAATGGATAATGCCCCAGATTTAGAATCGCATTCACTCACCGAGCCATTGGCAGTCAAAACAGGAATATCAATCTGCTCCAGTCTGTCGTAAGAGCCCTCCAAGCCACGGCTGGTTTCTGGGTTGGACCATTTGTCCAGGGCGTCTACTTGCGCTTTCATTCCTGCTCCGCCATCCTTAAACCCTTGAGATAGCCATTCGGTGGGGACTTCTCCGCTCGTGGACTCGTTTCGTTCGTGGATGCGAGCCCACCACTCCTCGGCTGCCTTTTCGCCCACAGCGTTATGGGGGAAGAAGAGCACCTTCAAGTTGGATAGCTCGGCATCTGGCGCGCCCGCATGGGGGGTATAGTCGTTTGGGGACTTCTCAATACCAGGGCCAGCACTTGCTCCGGTTCCAACAAGGATGAGCTTTCGGATCTTGAGCTTTTTTGGATCAGCGTTTAGCGTCATCATCTCGGCCACAAATCCGCCAAGGGAGAAGCCAAAGAGGTCAACTTCCTTGACGTCGATCAAAGATAGGAATTCGAGCATGTCATCTGCCCACTCTCGGAAATTGTTGGCGACAATGCCAGTGCTCTGTCCGACTCCGACGTAGTCGACAAGGATAACTGGCCGGGAAGCTGCAATGTTATTTATGAGGAGGGGATCCCACTTGTCCATGGTGCCGCGGAAATGGATAAGAAAGAGCAGTGGAACACCACTGGGAGCTCCAAATCGGCGATATGCTATTTTCCCATCTCGATAGGGAACATAGCTTGTTTTGGCAGTTTGATGAGTTGCCATTTTTGAAGAGGTAAATTAAGTATGTTTGTAAAAGGGAAGGTTGATTCTAATGTAGGATTTTCATAGGGAGTAGATGTGCTTCTAGGGGGAAAGCCATAGCTTTTATAGTTGTCCCAGCAGGCTATGACTTGCTTGAAGAAGTTTGATTTACTTGGCACATCTTTAGAATTGTTTCCGATTATGACTATTACAGCTCTGGGTGATTAGTCGAGCTCAATCAAGGCAATTACATCATGTGAACAGCCTAAATGAATACGAGAGGCCAGTTATCTCAGAATGTCACAGCTAAGTCGTAATGCAAAACAACCTCGACTTACAAGTGGGAAGGATATACCTTGTAGCAACTCGGTATTTCAAAGCAATGATAGGGAGAATATTTCCGCCCATTTCATCCAGAAATACCGCAATTACCGCAGGAGGCCACACAGGGTGTTTCCCCCTTCAGCTTAGCAAGTTGTCAGGGTATTCCTACTTTGTGTATTACTCGTCAACACTAGCCTGAGTGGGACAATGCCAGTAACATTATCAGCGATACGATTAACACAAATGTTTAATTTATGGAAAGTTTCTCGAATGCAATTTTAACTGGCGGTGCTTAGGCCTAATATTGTCTGCATCTGTGGTGTTTCGAGCTGAGTTGCAATGATATATCATAGCTAAATCAATCGAGCTGTCAATGATTAAAGTACATCTAAAACTCTGACTAAGCACTAAAAATATGACTTCAACATACATAACAATTATAAGAAGAAGGTTAGGCTGGTTCTTAAGATAGAGATAAATCGGAAACTAATCTTTGCAGGAAGAGTATCGTGCTCTCGGGTTACAAAAGGGCAGCGGCTGATTATTAATCTATGCTGAGCACAGTCCATGATCAGTAATTCAATACAGCAACGCAGTTATTTGGTTTAGCGTGACAACTCAAGCAATACAGTTAGCTGTTTTACGTGATAGGCATTACTCGGACGCTGAGGCAGGGCTGACTTTGCGTCTCATGCGGAAAATGACGAAAGGAGGTAAGTGCATGACCACTGCCACCACGGTTCAGAGTGTGGCCTCGAAAAAACAGGTTCATAGAGTACGCATATATGGGCAAATAAACCAAATATGCACTGAGATGTTGATAAAATTGTAGATAGTGTAAAAGAATAGCGTGGCATGGAGGTTGAGACACGTATATTTGATGGGTCGATAACTGGCTGTTGCAATATTGTATCAAATCAAGATTCAACGTAGGTTTCATATACCAGTTTATGAGCTTTTTTTTTTTCCAAGTTTCCATTGAACTAGGCATGAAATTACTAGCTCTTCGCAGCTACGGGGCTGATCTAAGGTTCACTGCCTTCGAAAGTCGGCTTATGTATACACATATAGCCATATGCTCTCATAGCATCGATTAGATTATGAGGCTAAGCCAGCAGTTGGTTACATCTGCAAGTATTAGCCTAGTTGCGCATGGCAATAAGTAATCAATGCAGCATACGAGCAAGGAAAATTTAACATGCTGACACGATGGAATTAGAATACATTAGATCCAGGCGAGAAGTACTACTAGTAGAGGTAAGGCTGAAGAACATTTGTCTCAAAGACGGACCCACCCCCGCATCATATCGTATCTTATCGCTCACCTAGGTGAGCTACCCGCTCCAACTTTTTTGTTCGCGTCCAAAAACCTTTCAGTCAAGCATCCGATACCCAGCCCTGCAAATTCCGCGCCACGGCCGCATCAATCCCCCCACCGCACCTTGATTTCGACATCTCCATGGAAGCGCGGTGAACAATGGCCAACCAGCAAACGCTCCTGTCCCCCGCCGAGCTCGCATACCTCCACAGTTCCCTCTCCCTCAGCCCGCCCATCCGCCCCGACGGCAGAACAGCCAAGCAGTTCCGGCCTCTGACCGCCGAGACGGGGATCCTGCCCGGCACAAATGGCAGCGCGCGAGTCTGCTTAGCCGACGGCACAGAAGCCATTGTGGGCGTCAAGGCTGAAATCGAGAAGACGGTCGACCCGTTGGGCGGAGAGCATTATCAGGAGTATGTCAAGAGTGCGAGCGGCGCTGGAGGCGGCGATGCGGAAGAGGACAAGCGAGGGGCGCGAGGGGAGTGGCTGGAGATGACGGTGGAGATTCCGGGCCTGAGAGACGACGACGCGGGAACGGTGTTTTTGGCGGAGCTGCTGAGAGAGGCGCTTCTTGCTGATGGAGAGTTTGCGAAGAAGCTGTGGATTAACAGACGATTTCACTGGAGATTGTATCTTGATGTGAGTTTTTGCGAAGCCTGACCATCTTTTGTTTTGAAGAAGCGGAAAATGGTTTTAAAAAATACCTATATATATATATATATACTAATCTTGCTCGCAGATCATCCTGATATCACCGCCGCTGTCATACCCCCTGCCCCTCCTGTCCCTCACAACACATCTCGCCCTCCTCTCAACAAGACTACCACGCCTCAAGTCAGAAGGCGACGAAGACCCCATGTTCGACGACGACTGGGAAGCCTCGCCGTTCCTGTATCCCCGCCAGGGCGCAGCCGCGGGCTCAAGGCCGCCCATTACGCTGCTGGTCGTTGCCGTCGGAGACAGCATCCTGTTCGACCCGTCTAAAGAGGAGCTTGCCGTCGCGGATTCTGCACTGGCGGTGTCGCTATGCGAAGTTAGGACGCAGAAAGGGGATGAGAGCATGGAGGTGGATTCTGGGCGCGAGCTGCGGCTGGTGTCGATGCGGACTGTCGATCCTCCGTCGAGGCTGACACCGCCTGGAGTGCCTAGTACGGGCAATTTCGCGGCCAGCGGGACGTTTGATCCGTCATCACAGAAGAAGCAGCAGCAGCAGCAGCAGAGGGTGGAGGAGTACCCTCAAGAGGGTGTTTGGAAGGCACCGCTGGGCGGAACCAGATTTGCTGTTTTAGACAGCATCATACGGGCTGTCTTGGAAAAGGGAGGTGTTGCGGATGAAGTCTTGGATGGCTTGGAAGGAGTAGACTTGTCATAGAAGAATGCTTTTTTACGGTTCTTGGTTGGGATATATTTGTTCATATAATGGTACATCATATTTGGTCTCACCATTGTGAGAGAGAATGCCTAATGCCTAATGTGATGGGGCAAAATCTTAAAAGTTACAATAGCAAAGGGGGGAACAGGCATATATATCTGGCTTTGCCTGCCAATCAATCAATGCACATAGAATGATCTTGAGGGGTGATGATCAATCAAAAAATGCCCAGCCACTTCTTCTTCTGCTCAGCTGGGGCTTCAGCCTCGGGCTTTGGCGGCAGTTCACGTCCCATGGCCGCAGCCTCGAGTTCCGCCTCCGACTTGGCCTCGTCCTTGCCAAAAACCATGGCAACGGGATCCATGGGCTCGATGCCATGCATCTTCATAAAGTACCTCCGCTTGGCAACGTCGTCGATGTGTCGGTTCCGGTGCTCGGCAGCCTTGAGAGCCTTGTCCTTCTCGTGCATGAGGATGACGTTCTTCCACTGGGAGAAGAAGTAAGTGGGCTGCTGCCACAGGTCAGATATCGGCGGCACGAGATCCTTGAAGGGGGAGTTGTAGGCGTAGTTCATGAAGAAGGTGTACACTCCCATGGCCAGCAGCGCGCCCTACGCGGTCAAAAAACGTCAGTCAACAACACTCACGGCAACAGTCCACGCGAGCCCTACCATGGTGATAAAGGTATGCAGCAGTCGGCTGTGCCAGAACCAATGTGTCCACGTTCCCTGGGGCGCCATAAGCCCCGGGTAACTCTTCTTGTTTTGGGCAGCAACCTCCTCCTCGGTCAGCGGCGGGCCGTAGTGCTTCGGCATCGAGTTTCGCTTGAGCCGGGATCCATGAGAGGGAGGATTGAACTTGGCCGGCTTCTCCAGCACAATGGGCTTGTCGGTCGATATGAAGCGGATGTGGATGTTCTGCGAGAGGGGGATCCTGATGCCACGCCAGAGCGGCCCCTGCAACGGCAGCAGGAAGCGCGGGATGACTGCTCTCGTCACCATTGCGATGGACTGCCGATGATGCAGAAGAGAGGAAGATCTGTTGTAGTGATATCTTGCTCAAAAAAGGCTATGAAGGAAAAAAAAAAAAACAACAACAAAAACAGCCGCCAAAAAGCTTTGGCACTTTTTTTTTTCGGGCAGCCCTGCTATGAAGCTGCTCTGAAGTTCCCACCAAAAAAAAATAGCGGGATGTCAGGCCAAAAAAAAATGGAGACGTCGCCAAACCCCACCCCAGAACAGAAAATCGACAAGAAGCTTTAGCCGACTTTTCTCCGGCAAAGGCGCGGATGGAAGGAAAATCCGGTGGAGCCGGGACGAGAACGAGTGTCGGAGAGGCTGTGGCGCTCACGAGTTCTGCGCCCTGGTGGCCCGACTTTACCCGGGAACAATCGCCCGACGAGTAAGCCTGACTGTGTAATTGCTGGAGCGTGATTGGCGGAACACGCGCCACATCTGTGGCTGATCACCGCCAGTTTCTGCGCTCTGCAGCCAGTCATGGTGTCATAAACTTTTTTTTTTCCTTGAAATTCTTAGTCCTCCTTCTTTTTTTTCTTCTTATACTTCTCACTTCTCCTTTTCTTCCACTTCAAGAAAAAATTTTGTTTCCAAAGTAGCCAACCGGTTTTAGGTTCTTCTTTGGATTAAACTCTTTACTCTTCTTTATTTCCTAACGACTCCTTTGTCTTTTCACATACCCATACTTCAAAATGGCTGGTGGTAAGTTTGCCGCGCACTCGCAATCCAGTTGCCGAGACCTGTCCGAAGGAGAACGGCGAGAAGCCATTGAGCCGGGCCACGACGGTCGACGACCAGGACGATTGGTTTTTTGGACTGGCCGAAGCATGACAACACTTGGAAGATATTCTCTTTTGTGTTTGAGGCGTCGTGTCGAGCAGTAAAGCTGCCTGGCGCAGTGCGTCATTTTCACTTGCCACCTCGCCGGTGGTGATGCCCACCTCGATGCTTCACTCCAAGTCCAAATATACCTCGTCCTTTCAGACGTCGACTCTGCGCCATGCCGCCGATTGGAATCTTCCGCCTTCTTCTTCGCTGTCTCTGTCCGCCACAGGGAACACCCCGGTTGCTAAATCATTCTTCTCTACAGGTGACGCTAAGAAGGGTGCCAACCTCTTCAAGACCCGTTGTGCTCAGTGCCACACCGTCGAGAAGGACGGTGGCCACAAGATCGGCCCCAACCTGCACGGCCTCTTCGGTCGCAAGTCCGGTACCACCCCTGGCTACAGCTTCACCGACGCCAACAAGAACAAGGGCGTCACCTGGGATGACAAGACCCTGTTCGACTACATTGAGAACCCCAAGAAGTACATCCCCGGCACCAAGATGGCCTTTGGTGGCCTGAAGAAGGAGAAGGATCGTAATGACCTCAACGCGTAAGTCCACTCTGAAACTACTGTCAACTATTGTATTGTATAAACAACCAATGTGCTAATGCCTTGCGCAGCTACCTCAAGGAGGCTACCGCTTAAGCGATGTATGAACCCAAAAAAGAAAGTATTGTAATGACAGAGATATCAATAGACGGGGTGCGGCGATTGTACTATAGACAAATTAGAATAGTCGAAGCATCATCACTGTGCTTGTACCAATAATATCCAACTCCGCTTTAAAGGCGAACCAGACACTTTTGGCCATCGTTTTCTTACGAGACGTCCTTGGATTTTGAGCAATGTGCTGTGAGCGGTGGAGGGTTTGGGGACAACCCGATTCTGATACCCGATTCTGATACCCGGCCGCCCAGCGGCTCTCGGAATTGGCGGTAATCATCCCGAACAGCGTTTTGCCGAATGTCACATTTGGTTAAACTCCCTGGGTTGTCATGCGGCCAAGGTCGTATTGCATTTGATCGGATGATGTGCGCAGGAGAGTTAGCTACCACTACTACTACCCCAAAAGGACAAAAGAAAGAGGACATGATGGTATACTGTACGTAGTACCCTCTACGCGAATCTGTACCATATCGATGTGCGTGCGCTTGGTATATCTACAACTTGTAAAATCTAAAAGAAAAAAAAAACTCCCCTATCCCATGCCGACGACTTGGCAGCAACCACTTACTACCTACTATTACTCCCCCTTTCCAAGCTTCTTATCCAGTTTCCTATACGAGTCCGGGTTCAGCACGCTGCACCGCGTATTCTCCAGCGCATACTCCCAGTCCTCCTCGTCAATTTCCCGCGCCGACTTCTTGCCCAGCATGAATTTCCTCAGCGCACACTCCGCCGCCTTGATGTGCAGGCCGCCGAGATCTGCGCCGCTAAAGTCCTTACAGCGCGGATCCAGGGCGACGGCTGCGAGCCTGGCGAACTCGGCATCGCTGGCGCTGGCGTGGGCAGTCTTGTAGATGGCACGGAGGATGTCTACGCGCTCTTCAGGGGTGGGGAGATCGACAAAGAGGCGGACACTGAGGCGGCCCGGTCGGAGCATTGCGGCGTCGATCATGTCGGGCCTGTTGGTTGTGCCCATGACGTAGATCCCTGAGCGGTCTTGGGCTCCGTCAAGCTCTGTGAGTAGAGCGTTGACAACTCGGACGCCTGCATCGGTCGATGCGTTGTCTCGACGGGGTACGAGAGAATCGATTTCGTCAAAGAAGAGAATGCAGGGCGTTGAGGAACGAGCGCGCTGGAAGAGCTCTCGCACGGCCCGCTCGGACTCGCCGACGTATTTGTTCAACAGTTCGGGGCCGTTGATGAGGATAAAGGAGGCTTGTGCCTCGTTGGCAACGGCCTGCGCAACGAGTGTTTTACCACATCCAGGGGGGCCCCAGAGGAGCGCACCAGCAGGACGCCTGAGACCAAATTCCTGGTAGAGTTCCGGGTTCTTGATGGGACCAATGATGGACATGTGTAGCTGCTCGCGTACTTTTTCCAAGGCGCCGACCTGGTCCCAGGTGACGCTTGGGATCACAGTAAAGCCTTCTCTCCGGAGAGAGGGTGTGAAGCCCTTGATGGCAAGTCGGAAATCTTCGAGAGTCAAGGGCTCTATCGGCAACGTTGTAAATGAGGGCTGTCTCAGATCTAATGAAATGGTGTCTGACACATCCATATCGTCCCTGCGGGGAGGTTGGGTAAGGAGTTCCAGCTGCCGCCCCTCTGGATCCTCCGTATTGAAAATTCGCTCCTGAGCTGCCTGCTCCGCCAAGGTTGTGACAATGACCATGTCCGCGCCGACGAAACCATGAGTCATCTTTGCTACCTCTGCAAGGTCCAGGCTGTCGGATAGTTTCTTGTTTCGTGTTACCACTTTCAGGATGTCATGCCGAGCCTCCTGATCCGGCACTCTCATCTGGATTGATCTTTCGAATAGACCGGCTTCAAGCGCAACGGGATCAACATCGGTTAACCTTGATGTTGTCGCCATGGCAAGAACATTGGCTTGTTCTTGTTGAACTCTTTGCATCTGTCGTGTGATTTGGTTGAGCACCTTTCTACCGTGCTCGTTGTGATTGGTGCCTCCTGGCTTAGGAATGTGCCAATCTAGATCCTCTATTAAGACGATACTAGGGGCCAGGCCAATGGCCGTATCAAAGCCCTCAGCCAAGCTCTTTTCCACGCGCTCCGGATCTTCAAGACAGCCATTCAATGTTATTATAGGCACGTCGAGATTCGCCGCGACAGTACGGATAAGTGACCTTTTGCCTGTTCCTGGGGGACCGAACAAGAGCATTCCAGGTACTCTTCTCCAGCCATTTCCTTCGTAGAGCTCTGGACATTTGAGTAGGTATCTTGTTTGGCGAAGCAGGTGGCGATGCATTTCGCCAACACCTCCCAGCGGCAGTGGCTCTTCCAATTGCTCGACCTTGAAACGGGTAGACTTGGGCGACTTCTTTTGTATCGTCTTCTCTTGTTTTTCGGCTCTTGATACGTCTTTCACTGCGTCGCCGTTGATGGCTGCCTCGGTACCGGTATCAACACCGCTTGTTGCGCCGTCTTTGTCTTCACCGTCGGCTTGGATCCGTCGTTTCTTGGCCACAGGCTGCTCATTGATGGCTTGGGGCGCAGAGTCGACGTGCCAGTGCTTTGTCAATTGGCGATTCAGCAAGAATCGATCGTCGTCCACTTTTATCGACTCCATTTCCTCTATGACTGCTTCTGAATCTTCTGAATCCTCCAGTTCCTCCTTACGGAACTGTAGAACTCGGTCTATCGAGTCTTCGAGTGGGCGTTTCTTCTGCCTGCTAAGGCTCGAGTTGGATCGTTTGATGGCATCGTACGCAGCGCTGACGGTCTTGAACGGCTTGCCGTCATTGTTCTCTTCCATCTTCTTGATAATCTGATACACATCTCGATCAAGACCTTGGCGAAGGTTTAACCGGGACTTGAAATTCGGTGCCATGTTGCCTGCCGGCGGCGTTGTCGCCCTTTCTGATGGTAGGAATGAGTGTCGATCGATTGCTGGCGCAGAAAAATAAAAAATGCGCTGTCAAATCAACACGCAAAAGTACTGAAATTTAGTACCAGTGCTAGCCGCTTTTGACTACATGCAAAAAAGTATAATTCTTGTGCAGTAGCATTTGATTCGACGTATCTAGGACAAAAATTGGGAAAGTAAAAGAAGGTTGAAAAAAATTGAAGAATAAGAAATGAAAGCAAGCAAACATTATTGTTCCCATCGCAAAGACCTGTATCAGATTGTCGTTTACACCAGTCATCACCGCTTACCCAGTGTGTATCAGCACCTGTGCAAATATGGGGCCTAGTGAGATTCCCTATCATAATCCCTGCCTATCGATAAAGCTTTCGGCGCCACATGATACAGCGAGACAATGACGACAAGGACCCTCGTCATCCGCCGACCTCGTCCCTTGTTGCCTTTCTGCGACTTCATTCCCAGTCTGCGGGCTCACGGTCGATCAACGAAGAAACACACGGCCGAGTCCGTAGCATAGAAATCATTTCACAATGGGTGGCAAACAGAGCAAGATTACCGAGCAGGACAAGTACGAAGCATCATCACCGCCCTTGATGTGCCGCCTCCCCGCTAACGGAGAGAAACTGTAGGGCGATTCTGGATATGAAGATCCAGCGCGACAGGCTACACCAGTATCAGCGTCGCATCACCGTCCTGACAAATAAAGAGACTGAAATCGCCAAGCAGCTGCTCGCAAAAGGCGATAAAAAGCGCGCGCTGCTTGCGCTGCGGCGAAAGAAGTACCAAGAGTCGCTGTTATCGAAGACGGATGCGCAGCTGGAGCAGCTGGAGAAGCTGACGGCCAGCGTCGAGTTTGCGCAAATCCAGAAAGACGTGATATTTGGCCTGCAGCAGGGAACCAAAGTGCTGTCGGAGATTCACGCCGAGATGGGAGGCATTGAGCACGTGGAGAAGCTGATGGAGGAGAATGCGGAGGCGATTGCATACCAAAATGTATTTTTCACTTGTTTCTCCTTGTTGCGCGTTAAACATTCCCTTTCTCCATCCTTTCATCTCTCTTTTATACTGACTTTGCGCTACAGGAAATTAGCGAGATGCTCGGCACCCGTATCACGGCACAAGACGAAGAAGAGGTAGAAGACGAGCTCGCCGCGCTAGAAGCGGAGATGTCTGGCGTCAACCAGAAACTTCCCACAGTCCCGAACGCAAAGCTTCCAGTTTCGGAAAGGCCGGCAGAGCAAGAACAGGCGCAAGAGAGCAGACCAGAGAGACAGGCGATGCTGGCCTCTTAATTTGATATGAGATTTTCTTATGTCGGGCATTGGAGCATGATGATGATTATTAGACAATTTGGTTGAGGTTGGTTATATGCTTGATGATAGATGGCAACAACGACACCATAGCGAGCACGGGGAAGGCGTTTTGATGCTTCTTTTTCTTATTCGTTCATCTTCTCTTGTACACGCTGGTACATATTCTCTCTGCTTTATTTCTTATTTTATCTATTGTGGATGGAACTCACTCTGTAATGGAGTATTTATACCTTTTATACATTTAGCTGCCATATTTGGATACGAGCTTCTTCATGATTGACATGGCTCCTCCACGGTATCCTGACCCAAAAATCGCATAGTGGTTTAAATGATGGTATCTATAAGACATTTTTTTTAACATCCTTACCTTTCCATATTTACTTGTATTCTGAGAGAGTTTTGCAATCTGGAAGCACTTACAACTCGTAGAGCGAGACCCGATCATCCCATTCCTCTGCGGGCTCTGCTTTTGGAACTAATTTCTCGTATTCTCTCCAAAAGGAGCTGCCGAAGCCTCCAAACATGTTCATGATTCCGAGCTCGTACTCTGAGTGGCCATAGACGCAGGAAGGATCAAAGACAACTTCTTCGCGACCACCTTTTCCAGCGATCTGGCCTGCTGAATGGTTTCCACTCCAGAGATCGCCGTGTATCACCACTGGCGTGATGTTCATCCGCTCATCCCCAACGAGTCGAGGGACGACCTCACTGGCAACTCTTTCTACCATGTCGACTGCATCACCATCCGGGCCGTGGTTTTTTACAATCCGCTTCATTATGTAACGTAACCGGTTTTCAGCGTAAAAGTCTGCCCAGGATGACTTCCAAGAGTTGTCCTGCTCTGTGTCTCCGCAACAAGTCGGGACGGGGAAGCCAAACATGGGATTATCAAAGCCCTCTGGGATAGGCGCAGGCGTTGTGTGGAGCTTGGCCAGCTTTGCGGCGAGGGAGATGCCCGAGCCCTTTGAGTCGGAGTAGCCCAGTTGGAGGTAATCCGTGGCGAGGAAATACCTGTTGGCTTGCTGCATGGGGCCATGGCAGTATGATTTGGGACAAAAGTTGGGGACGGCGTCGTGGATGGCGTTGAGGGAGGCATGTTCGCCTATATAAGTGAGAAGGGCGGGTGAGGGGCGTATTAGCAATACCGGGCCAGAGAGTGAGGATGAGAAATGAGAAATGAGAGAAATAAGTAAGTTTAACTACCTTGAAACATTATTCTGGCCCCCTCTCCGGAACCTGTCTTGACAAAGTAGTCAAAGGGCTGGCCATCTTTTGCGGTGCAGAGCCTGAATGTGGATGAGAAGCCCGATCCGCCGGCGGAGGAGATGGTGGTGTGATGTTTGTCCAGGTTGAGTGCAGAGAGGATGGCGCTGTCGACAGAGGGCGACATAATAGAGCAGGTGAATAGAAAAGTGTGTAATTTGTAGATGATACGAAATGTAAATTTAATTAATAATGGTATTTACGAGGAAATGCGAGTTTTGTTATTCCGGCAGATGCCGATTGAAATGAAGATGCTGTTTGGCACATGAGTGACGTCAACGTGCTTCTGCATGACTTCAGTGTAAATCACAAACAGCTTAAGCGCTTCTGCGCGATGCGGATGCGCTGAGGAAGGACGACTACGACAGTACAAGTCTAAAAAAAAACATCACAAAAGAAGATGAGGTGAATGAAAAGAGTAATGAGAAAAATAGTTGTATAAAGAGGTATATTTATAGGAGATGCTATCAAAATCTAAAAAAAGGGGGTATTCCAAAATTCCATCGCTAACCAAATCGCAGATATCCGTGCACTATTATTATTACCGTCCCCATCTGTCCCTTTCAGCCAAGTAATATGTTGTCCCCTATTTTTTCTCCAATGCGACGTGTGTGTGTGTGTGTGTGTGCTTTTTTTTTTCTTGCTTGCAGTTTCGTCCGGCCTGGCGCACCAAAGTGGGGCCGGGCGCCGACCCCGAACGATCGGGAAGTGCCGTTTTTTCTCGTCGGTGTTTTGCATTTGCTCGCTGAAATGGTGGAAAAACAGCAGAAAAATGAAGAAGAAGAAAAACGCTTCCAAGTGTATGCTTTTTTCTTTATGATCCATGTATTCGAAAAGTCCAGATCTATCGAATTTCTCTCAAAACATTTAAGAGAAGCGCTTGTATAGTATTCGCCGTTTTGTCAAAAAACGGTGCTTGTTTTACTGCTTGCGCTCAACGTGGGAAGACGAAACCGAGCTCCTGGGGCTGACTGGTCGTGACGGGACAGGAGTACCGGCTTGAGAGCAGTCGGCCGATTTGGGGTAGTCGAGCTCGCAGGCGGGCTTGTTGTAGCAGTAGTGGCAGGTGCAGACGACGACGGGGTTGATGGGAGGGCGAGGAGTGCAGTGGCGAGCCCACCAGCTTTGTCCTTGAGAAGGCATAATGATTGTGGTTTGTGGTTGTGGTTTTGAGTTGTCGATGAGAGTTGAGTGAGAGAGAGTGTGTGTGTGAGGCTCGTTGAGTGAAACCTCTTTTAGATGCGTTTCTTGCTAGCTTCGTTCGAGCGTATAAGAGAGAGAGTCTCAAGTCAGATCCTTCTCAGGGCAGTGTTTGATGTTTAAAAGGAAAGCTTGTCTATTGCCAGTGGGTTCTTGTCGATGAGTCAAAAGCAAAAAAATTCGCAAGAAAACTGCGGAGATGGACAGGATATTATATATCTTCGACACACTAGAGTCCTATGGCATAATAATAGACACAGATATCGAAAATTCTCCTTCGTTCTCTTACACGCGGGCAATACCCGAACACTGCCGACAGGGCAGGCACACACGCCTCTCGCACACCCCCTTGCAGCTCGCTGATAGCTGATACAAAATGCGCCACCAGATCTCTCGGCGCTCCGTCGGTATTTCGCAATTGTGAACCAGCAGAACTCTCGGGTATAGCTTGGCCAATCACCACCCCGGCGCCAGAAGAGGTACGTTGCAGCATTAACAGATGAACAGCGAAACTGGCCCACAAGCAGCACAAAACAGATGGTACACGCTGTTAGAGCAGTACTTGGTCATTCAAAGTTCTTATCAAGGGCGCCGTCTATTTTTTTTCTTTCTCGTCTGCCCTAGCTTGGCGATCCACTGCGGCAGCTAGGGCTGAAAAGGGACTTTGCAAAAAATCGAAAAGAGTCAATGCTGCCCAATCTAGCGCCCAGTGGAAAGGCGCTGTGACTAAGCCGAGTCGCTAAACATGCAGATTAAGTAATTTCCTGCTGGCGATGAAGTAATGCTGCATGCTGCCCGCGCCCAAGATCTTCCAAGATTCCATCACACGCCCGTCGTCATTCCAAATCAATGCAGAGCGTTGAGAGCGTCGCTTAGCTAACAGCGTCACATGGAATGAAAACGAAACAATGGCGGCGTCCCCGTTCTTGTCCATGGCAAATGCACAAAATACGGCACCCTGCAGTCCACACGCCTCACGCTTCTTCGATGGACCCCCCTGCAGGCACTGCCATTCATCCGAGACCGCAATAACCGAACGACTTCCGAACCACCGGGCTCAATGCACATCGCAATCCACGCTGGACTCTTGGCCTGTGGCATTCTAGACTGCTAACCGCGTACTCTCAAAACGCGCTCTCCTTTGACGGTCATTCCACAATCACCCGATTTCTTGATTGCTTCTGGAGCTGTCTGTGCCATGCTCTCCGTCATTTTCCGTAGATATGGGCACATATAATTGATGGATGCCTGCCAAAATGATTCTAGAGTCCTGGCAAAGACCGAAGTTTCAAACTTCTTATCGTTGTGAAACTCCACCGGCTGCTGACATGGCGTCTCCTTCTCCCTACAGCATGGCAAGTGCTTCGAATCGGAAACGAAAGCTCTAATCAAATCAGATCATCCTCGCCTTATCGCCCTAGAAACCTTACCGAGTATCTCCCCAGCAAAGACGATTCCCGGAATCCTCAACTTCACTACCCCCCTTGGCTACAGCTTGGCAGAATTAAAAAGTTTTCTTTTTTCTTTTCCTTTGGTTCATCTACGACGCACAATACGTCGACATATGCTATTGAAAAAGCAACAAAATGCCTTGACCGCCGCATCATTCCCGGGTCCCCCCTTGCCCATTGGTTGATTTGCTCCTGTCGCCCCCCTCCTTCAAAAACAGACATTACAAGGAATCCATGCCTCCAGTCTTACGACTCTGTTACCGTCTAGATACCCAGGGTGAACTCAACACCAACGTCAATATCGCGAGCTAAAATTCAAACACTACCGTCAGCAGGTGATTCTCTTTCCTTAAAATTATTCTTTCTTTGTTTTGCTTTTTGCTTTTTCTTTCTTTCTTTTTCTCAAATTTCGTCATAGTATTGGGCCGTAAACTTACCCAACTTGACAACCTTGGACAGCTGCACAGCCTTCTCGGCGGCGCTCTGCAGGTCATCAATAGAGAAGATCTTCAGACCAGACTCGTTGATGATCTGATGGGCAAGCTCGACGTTGGTACCCTGAAGACGGGCAATGATGGGAATCTTCAGGTTGAGGGTCTCGACAGTCTTGATGAGACCGTTGGCAATGGCGTCGCAACGGACAATACCGCCAAAGATGTTGACGAAGACGGCGGTGACCTTGGGGTCGCTGGTGATGAGCTCAAAGGCCTCCTTGATGGCGGCGGGAGTGGCACCACCACCAACGTCGAGGAAGTTGGCGGGCTGACCGCCGTTCAGCTTGATGATGTCCATGGTGGCCATGGCCAGACCGGCGCCGTTGACAAGGCAGCCAATATCACCATCCAGCTTGATGAAGTTGAGGTTGGACTGAGCAGCACGGACCTCATCAGGGTCCTCCTGAGTGGTGTCGCGCCACTCGAAAATCTCCTTCTGGCGGTAGTCGGCGTTGTCGTCGAAGCCAAACTTGGCGTCCATGCAGAGGACCTGGTGGTCTGAGGTCTCGGACAGGGGGTTGATCTCGATCTGGGTAGCATCCCGCTCGAGGAAGATCTTGTAGAGCTTCTGGATAGTGTCCTTGGCATCCTCAATGCACTGCTCGCTGAAGCCCAGGCCGGTGGCGATGCCGCGGGCAACGTCGTCGGTAACACCGGTGTTGATGTCGATGTAGGTCGTAGTGATGGCATCGGGTTGCTCCTTGGCAACAGTCTCGATATCGACACCTCCCTGAGAAGAGGAGACGATGACGGGGGTCTGGGAGGCTCGGTCCATCAGGATAGCCAGGTAGAACTCGCGACGAGCAAACTTGCGCTCGCAAATGTAGACAGCATTGCACAGACGGCCGTCGGCGCCGGTCTGCTTGGTGATGAGCTTGTGGCCAATCATCTGCTGAGCAAACATCTCGGCTTCGTGGGGAGAGTAGATGACGCGGACACCGCCCTTCAGGCCGTTGTCGAAGGTGCCCTTGCCTCGTCCACCAGCAAGGACCTGAGCCTTGATGACGAGGTCGCCAGAGCCAATATCCTTGGCCACAGCCTTGGCCTCTGCGGCAGTCTTGGCAACGGCGCCCTTGGGGACACCAACGCCATACTGTTATTGTGAAAAAAATCGAAGTGCCGTGTCAGCCGGATGCTGCGCGGGAAGATGCCATCAAAGCATGTGAACAGGGTGAGGTGATTACCTTTCTCAGCAGGTCGGCGGACAGGTACTCGTGGATGCTGAGAGCTCTTCGCTGCTGGGCGATGCCAGGCAGTCTAACGGAGGGGGTGACGTGCAGCTGAAGGAAGCAAGAACTCGGGTTAGATCCTCTGACGTTGTATTTTTGCATCCATCGAGGGGTTGAAAAAATGGGGAGCAGCTTTTGCGACGTTTGCGTACCTTTGCGGCGCTGAGGGCCGACGCCGCCGCGCGGCTGCGGCCAATGTTGAACATGATGATGGAAAGGGCTGGCGGCTGCCAAATTGAGTGGAGAGAGATGCAAGGAGAAGAAGGAGAGCGCGGAACGTCGAAGTCGACTCGACGAGACGTTTTTTGGAGGTTTTTTTTGGGCGGTTTGATGCTCAAGGCGCACAGCTCTCAATGCGGAAACCGCTTCCTGGCTGGCTCGGCCTAAGCTGTGGCAGGCGACGGGGGTACCCGAGTTTCGCCGACTGGTGGACCGGAACATTGTTGTGCCGGCCAAGCGGCGTGCCGAAGAGCCCTGTCAACTGCCGGGGGGCCTGGGTACATGTACGGTATCTGTACGTTGATCTGTGCTGCTAACCTGGACAATGTTGCATTGAGAAACGCTTTGCATGCAAGTACTGTATACAAGTGTCAAACAAGCCAGTTGATGCAGATGGTTTTCCTTATCGGCTTCAAACATCGGCTCGAGTCGCTGCTAATCGACTGCTCTTTAATTTAAACAAGGCTGCGCTGCACTTGAGTGGCAGGGCTAGTTAGTAATAGTTGTTGAAAGAATAGCCAGAATCCGGAAGTCTCGCTTGGCCCGGGCGTCCTGAGCACCACCTCGCATGTCATGTGTTAGTGCTATGTATCATCTATATTTTGCTCATCATTAATAGTAGTACTGAGATAATTTTGTCTGTTGTGAAAGAAAAAGAAAAGAAACGCTTGGTAGTTGCTCTTTTCACCACCTCTTCTGTAACGCTCTTATTGCATTTTCATCCCGTGCGGTAGCGACAAGAGGTACCCTGCAGCCACAATTACCATGCATGGTCCCAGATCCGATAGATTCACAAATCAGCTGTCTTCGATCCGACAGATCTGACCATCTCACCAGGCATCTCATAGGCTGACGCCACACATAAATCTAAACAAATGCCCATCAAATGTTTAACTTCGTACATTTGCACCACCCCAGCAGCCACATTACGGTCCAGCCACTCCATCAACAACTCCCCCATGCAGCCCCACTATGGCAGCCTCCATGTCCCTTACTTGAGTGCTCGTATATCAGCCATTCGCAATCGAGCTTCGAGCTGCTAGCTCCCTGACCTGATGCTACCGCCAATCGCAAATCCGCCTCCCCTTCGTCGACCAAGAGCTGCTTCTACCTATCCAGCTGCCGTCGCATTGACTCGCATCATGGCTCGCCGTACGTGCTCTTGCATTGATTTGCCGAGGCGTTCGCTCTGATATCAGTTTCGTCTTCCTTTCAAGTGCACCCTGATACAACGATGTTGTTGTTGGAACTTTTGGTTGTAGATGTTGGCTCTGTCGTCCCAAGTCGCGCTATCCGTATGGCGCCCTGGAATACATGTTTGCGTGCCGTGACCTGCATGTTAGCTTGGCATGTTCTGGCTCGAATGGGCATCCCCGATGTGAAAAGCCCGCTGTTGTTTGCCATACTCAATAGCTGCGGCTCTTTAGCTTCTCTTTTCCGCAAAAAGGCACCGTGGGATTTTGTGCTGTCATGTCTGCTTCATACAATATTTGTGTCTCTGTGCTAGGCACCGGCTTTTCCCCTGTCTGGAACCTTGATCCTTGAGCCTAGAATGGACTTCGTATTCTCTCCAATGAGAAGCTCAATAGCGAGCTGCTCTCTAGTCTTTACGGTCTAGCTTGAGAGCCCTTTCATGGCGTGGTTTGCGCGTTCTGGTCGCAATACTGGCCTCCTTAGCGTCGACTTATTTGTGTAGCCTCGACGCATCTTCTTGAATAGGCGACCTGTGGCGTTGCTTGTTGTATCGTATATCTCTTTGCGCCCTCTCCAATCCCTTCCACTTTCCTTCTGCATTTCCTACTTTCCCCATGCATTTCTTTTCTTTTCAGGCATGGCTTTCTCTCTACTTTGCTTACCAAGCCATACCCTGACAATTTTTATATGTCTCATACCAGCCATCACCGTTCTAGTATGGCTCCGTCATCTTGCTTCAGACATCGTAATTAAGAGAGCTGGCGGTGCCCGGGCGCCTGTATTAGCAGGCAACCTTCTTTCCGGTAAGCCTATCCTTATGTACTCCATCATCTCTTCTACGTCCTCCTTTCTATTAGGAAGTATCGCCTAATCGCCATGACACAGCTTCTAAGCTGTACTATGAGATTGGCAAGAGTCAATATCACAATAGACTCGTCGATTGGTGCACCGGCCAGCTGGATAGCTTACCTCCTGGAAAAAGGACGTTTGCCGAGTTCAGTCTAACAGGCGCCAAGAGAGTCCTCATCACCCGAGAACCAGAACAAATCAAGGCGATCCTAGCAACAAATTTCTCCAACTTTGGCCATGGGCCCATGTGGCATAAACTATGGCATCCCTTCCTTGGAGACGGCATCTTTGGTGTGGATGGACAGCTTTGGCACGATAGCCGCAGCATGATCAGACCAATATTCTCCAAAGACAGGCTGCGCAATTTGGCCATCTTTGATACGTGCACCGACAAACTGCTCTCCAAGATTCCCTCTTCTGGAGGCACTGTTGACTTGAAGGACCTATTCTATCGCTGGTCATTGGACACCACGACTGAGTTTCTGCTTGGAGAGAATGCGGGCAGCTTGGATTTGTAAGAACCTCTCATGTCGTATTGCTATTATGGAGTAACCTTCGCATGATTCAGTCGCAGTTTACCAACACTTCTTGCTCAGTCCAGATAACAAAGTTTTCAATGCGATACATACTGTCCAGCGTATGCAAATGTATATCTTTGTCCTCAAGTTAGTTCATCTACCATTGAGTTAACGCTATGAACAAGATCCTCAACTCATACACAATAGTCCCATTGCGCCATTGATCCCCAAAGGTGAATATTACCGAGCAATCAAAAGAATAGAGGAGTTCATCGAGCCAATCATTGCACGGACTCTGGCTATCTGCCCGACACAACTCCAACAACTATCCAAGTCTGATTTGGAATTCTCCTTTCTACACAGCATCGCCATCTACACTAGAGATCCCAAATTAATCCGAGACCAAATCATGTCTGTGCTGTTTGCCGGAAGGGACACCACGGCAGCAACCTTATCATGGGCAATGTACGAATTGTCAAATTATCCCCATATGTGGGCTAAACTGCGCAAAGAGATCTTGAACAAACTTGGGCCCCAGGCAGCGCCCACGTACGAGGTACTCAAAAATCTCACATATCTTAAAAAGGTCCTCAATGAGACCCTTCGGCTTCATCCAGCGACCCCCCTCAACATGCGCCAAGCTCTGGAGACCACAACCATCCCTGGGAGACCTGGCGAGGCTGACATTGTTCTTCTCAAGGGAGACAGCGTAACAATAAATGTGCTCGGCATGCACACTTGCGTGGATTTATACCCACCTACTTCTGAGAAATTTGCAGACTTGAAGATATTCAGCCCTGAGCGGTGGGAGCATTGGACACCCAAGCCTTGGACGTACATTCCATTCTCTGGAGGTCCTAGGATCTGCATCGGCCAGAATTTTGCCCTGACCGAAATGGCATTTTGCTGTGAGTTGAGCGCATCTGATACATTATCTTGAGTGCAAATGAATTGGCTAATAGGAGCTTGTTCCTCCTCTCTTTAGTGGTGCGCCTTGCGCAGCAGTATGAAAGGATTGAGTATCGCGGTGATTGGGCAGCACAGAAGCTACAGGTAGATCTCATTGGGACACCTGCTTTGGGAGTTCCCATGGCATTGTACAAGCCTGGCGAGGTACCAGATCCGTCATTCAAGTATCATATTAATTAGAAAGTTGATTCCAAAAGCTATGTGCCTAACCCTATATCGTAAAAATAGCAATAAACGCCATATATAATTCGCTCTCATCACATCATTTGCAATCTCCTCAACCAGGGCCTCTACTACTCAAAATTTGACCAGACCGTCCCCAGCACCCTTCCCTTATCATCCAACTTGACCCCCTCGCCTCTCAATAGCTTCTTCTTTTCAGTAATCGTAATTCCTTCTCCATCTTTAGGCCAACTGCCTTTAAAGCCGCCTAAAGATCCTCCCGTCGCCACAACGCGATGACACGGCACCTCAGGCGCGAAGGGATTCCGCCGAAGCGCGTTGCCCACGGCTCGCGGCGACGTCCCCAGATATGCAGAAAGCAAGCCGTATGTAGTGACCCGTCCGCGGGGAATCTGGCACAGCGCCGTCCACACGCGCTTCTCAAAATCCGTGCGCTGGCTTTCCGCTATACGAAGGAGCTGTGGCTGCATGTCTGCGGGGATGGATGCTGGCTTGTTGATGATGGCTGCGACGCTGAGAGTTCTGGGTGTATGCTTGGTTGTCTTTCGGATTTTGGAAGTTGATGATGCTTTTGTGGCGGTGGTTAAGGCCAATTTGCGTTTTTGGATGGTGGGTGCCATGTTTATTGCTGGTAAGAGGATGTCACTAGGTAGTTGTTTGATGGACTTGGAATTCTGGATGAAGGGTATGATATAAGTAACTGCTGGGATACGATTCAACTTTTTCCAATATTTGAGGATGTTGAGGTTATATTTTTCGGGTGGAATAGAGATGATCTCAAAACGGGCAGTAAGTGCGAACACGCAAATATATATTCACACAGACATAGGCAACATGCCCAGCCACGCTTTGACAGCTTTACGCAACAATTCATTGGTGTCGCCATATTGATAGCAACACCCAGCTTGGCGCCTGGTCACGTGACATTGCTCTAGAATTGCGGTGACATCAGCGGCACGGCTTGAAGGATGGCCTTGCTCCTGATATAGCGCAGAATACTCGATTATGGCAGGTCCTTAGTCATTATGGCTTTGAGGACAATTTGGAATAAGCTGCTCTGTGACTCAAAGTTGCTGCCGTCAATTCTGCGTGCTGATGCAAAATACAGAAGTGCTATCATCCTATTATTAATCGTGGGCGGCTCATATCTCACGTCGTTTTTCATTCCAGCTAGATTGTTCATAAAAATGTATTTTAAGATGTATTTGATCAAGGACAGTGTGTGCCTCTAACCTAACGCCGGTATCATTGCCCCGTAATACTATTGCCTATTTGTTCCCGTGATTGTAACGTTCTTGCTTCAACACTATTAAAGTAAAACCCATATGTGGATTGGCTAAGCAGGTCTCTCTTACGAGGATCTTGCTTGGTAATAATCTTTTCTCTAAACATCGCCATCGTACAATTCCTTCGTATTCTGTCTCGGCATCCGCCTCGGTATCTGGTCGTTGGGATCGTCGTTTAGATCTTCTCAATCTTCTCAGACCATAAATGACTCTCCGCAGCCACATTGCTCCTCTGTTACCAGTTAGTCATCGGTATACCAAAAGAAACTCAATCAATTGCACGATATGCAGGAGACCACATACTGATGTTGGGGTTCTTAAACACAAACTTCTGACTCAGTTTGTCCTCTGCCCAGTCCATCTCGGTACCAATAATGCTGAAAAGTGCCTTGCTATCGATCAGGACCTTGACACCATCTTGCTCCACAGTCTCATCGAAAGCGCCAGGCTTATCGACGTATTCCAGGTGGTAGGCCAGCCCGCTGCAGCCCCGGTTTCGTACACCGACCTTGATCAGCTTCGGGTCGGGTTGATTGAGCAGAGCGCGCAGCTGGTCAACAGCAGCGGGTGTGAGCTTCATAGCCGCCTTGCGAGGTCGGAGCTTGGAACGGGGCCGTGTGGCGGGCTTTGCGCTTGGTGTATTGGTTTCGGTGGCCTTGGGGGTTGTAGGCGCTGTTGATGTTGCTGGAGAAGGCTTTGGCTGTGATTGGACCTGAGGCGCGGCGGTCGGCTTGGGTGCAGCGTCATGCTGCAGGGGCGGCCGTGTCTCGTGGACACGAGGTAAAGCTTCTGGCTGGGCGATGGAGACCTTGGAGATGTCGTCGCTCCTAGGAGGTTCGGGGATCTTGGATGGCAAAGGGTAAGAGTGGTAGGCAAAGCCGGCTACTCTGGAGCCGCACAAGTGGCGGAAAGAAGAGCGGCTCAGGCGCAGCGCAGCGCGGCCGGTAGAGTAAGAGACGTTCATCATTGTATCATAAAAATGCAGTGCGGACGCAGTGCATGCTGGTGTACAGCGTCAAAAGGGTTGAGGCTTCAGGCTTTGGAGGCTCGAGGTGGGGAGGGTAGATGCGGGTGTTAGAAATCAATTTCTCGGCTCAGCTCCAGGGACCGCGGAAATCGATCATGTCATGGTCGTTCTACGAGATGTACTCCAGTACCTATTGTCCCCGGATTCAGCCGAGCCAATGAGCGCTCGAGAATTAGTCAGTGGCTGAGGGAAAACAGCGGAATAGCCATTTTTGGGCAGTTGCTAGCCTATGCCGAGGGGAATTTCTCCTAGGAGAAAGCCCTGTCCTAGCAGCTACCAAGGTACCTGACTAGAATTTCCATTTGCTTACTCCGTATACTATGAGATGATATGGGCTTTTGAATAATATCTCTTCGATGCAAAAAAAAAAAAAAAAAAAAAAAAAAAAAAAAAAAAAAATTGAGAAGAAGAAGAAAGCGACAGTTTATAGATTCTAGATTCCACAAACAGCGATGCGACGGCATCTTGCCCTTTACTACGAAAGATCTACTAGGTATGCAGACATGCTAACCATTAGGCGGGACTTTATGCTTCGTAAATTAGCTACCAGTCAGCTACCTATAGGTAGGGACTCTTGGAAGTATTTTACAATATTGATATCTTCTCTCTACCTTTTCAAATACTCAGCAGGAGTCTCATGAATGCGTTGAAGCTATTAGCGATGCAGAGTGTTGACGTGGTAAAGAATGAAGACAGAAATGCTGTTTACAACGGACTCAGTAACGCCACTCCAGCGGCCAAGTCTGTCTCAAAAAGAGAAGCGGCCTGTTGAAGCCATTGTTCATTTTGTCAGAATTATTGCTCGAGGAAAAATAAATAAAAAAATCCTGCATAATGAGCGCAAACATAGCGCCGTGAATGGCTGGACGGCACAAAAATTGGAATGAGAGCTAATTATACCACTGCACCTGGCTTTGGTGACGATAAATGAAGAACGTAGTGTATTGTGAAGAATGGTGACGCACACTATCAGCGAGAAATTCCGATTTCAGAGCACCTTGAGCCACTAAGCTAAATCTTGGTCTTCATAGCTTCCAAGATGCGTATGAGTCAATGCTAGCCTAGTAAATCTATCTAAATGCGATCCACTGTCCAATTTGACCAATACTATCCGGTTTGATCAAGGGTACCTATCGTAGTTGGATAATGAATCAATCTCGTCTAGACATATAAGACGAGCTCCTACCTTGGCTTTGTACATGAACTTGGAGCATGCCATAAGCTAGCTGCTGAGCTCCTTATGGAATATGTAGAGTAATAACACAAAGCCAATACCCAAAAGCCCTCTCGATACCATTTCCCCTGTTCTTCGTTCTCATGCTCATACACGAAGCGTTGACACGATTGCTTTGGCCTTGATACTCATTCTACGCGGTACATGTACATTGCAGACACATGGGCATGAAGAGAGAGGCTGGACTGCTTATGACCATTGGCGCACCAGAATGTGTCCATTATTCTGGCAAAATAGTTGACGATACTCAATTTGACTCAGTGTCTAGATCTCTGTTTGGCGCCCTCTAGACCGTTTCCATCTAGTCGTTACATTAGCTGTAGAAAGCGATTTGAGCTAATCTTAGCACGGATGCGATCTTCAGGGCTGGTAGCGGGGAATGTGTCGCTGGCGTGGCATACTAATCATAGACGAAGATGATTTCTTGGTAAATGTCAATTCAGAGTTGATCTTGTAAATAGTCCTTGGAATCCTGGGCTCCTCTGTATTGGCAAGGGAAAGAATGAGCATAAAGAGCCATTCGAGTCAACAGTTTATATGCAGCCGCCGCTTAAGTCCAAAAGAGGCAACTGAGAATGTAGGAATATAAAAAAGCACTAGTTAGATTCAAATCCTCAATCAAAGATGATTGCTATAAGTGTAGAGCGAAGTGTAAAAAAAGGAGGCTCCAAAGATGTGATTATGGGGAATGGGATTCTAAGTCAAGACACTGAAAACACTTTCTTTACTACGATCACTCCTTTTCTTTTCTTTTCTTTTCCTTCCCTTTTATAAAAAGAAACATAGTACTTTAATAGCTTGAATCCTTCATCGAGAATGGTATTTTACAGTTTACAATGCTTTTCTGTCTCCTGTAAATAGAATGAACAAGAGACTGCGGCATCCTCTGAGATCAAAGACGATTTGCTGCGGAGTCTCGTATGAGACACATTAGGAAACTGTCCGTCAATCAAATCTCAAGGCACTTTGGCCGAGTGGTCTAAGGCGCCGTGTTCAGGTGTTGCTGTTCTCAGCTCACTAGTTTCGCGGTCTAGAAATAGGCGAGGGTTCGAATCCCTCAGGTGTCATATCTTTTTTTAAATTCGTTTTTAAAAAATTTTAACCTTTTAGCTTTCCCCCTATTATTTAGACTAGTTCATAGCTACTGCCACTAACCCTTATTTTTTTTGAGTATTGCTATTCGGGCAGTAGATTTTTGCTATTCGGGCAGTACGCCCACCTTACCAAGCCTAATTAGGCCTAGGTTTATGCAACCCATCTTTTCACACCAAATTACAGTGTAAAGTCCTGGCAGCCAAAACTGTATACAAAGACCAGACAGTAGTTATTAGGTACTATAGCTAGAAATGCAAAATGAAGCTATCGCAACCGTGTTTTCTAGGGCTCTATTTGCGTTGCCGGGATAACTTCCTCAACCTCTGCAGCGGCATCTGCAGTGCTGCTTTCTTCTATAACTGCAAGGCGTTGAGTGCCTTGAGTGCCTTGAGTGCCCGAGGCCCGGCCGCGGCCTCTCTGTCTTCCTCCTCGATTTCCTCGGCCTCTATTGCTTCCTGCAACTCGTGATCGCTTTGGCCTCGTCTGCGAGGCTCCCTGACTAGCAGCTTCAACCTCTGCCGCCGTTCGAGTGCGCCGTATGCTTGAGGGTAGTCTCCGACCGCCCGGTTGACTAGAGGTCGGCAGGGAGGGCGTTGTAATCGGCTGCAAGTTGCGATCAACGGGAACTCTGCTATTCTGAGGCAATCTCGGCCGGCCTCGTAGATTCTCAACGACATCTGGGTCTCGGATTCGAAGTAGCGGCTCGTTTAGGTCCTAGGACGCCGGGTTAGTAGACTTTACATAGAAAATTGCAGGGAGAAATACCAAGGGCTTGTCTAGCCACCAGCGCGGGTGGATGACTTCCTTCGTCAACGGCGCTCCTTCTAAGATCACCTTCTCAGCGATATAATGAACGCAAGGCATCGCGTATTGTTGTGTGAAGTGGCATGAAGTTGCACACGGCGGCAGCGTTTTGTTTCCCTTTACAGCAGCCTCAGCGTGGCGATACTGCCGAGCAAGAAGATCAACGGCAGCGTAGCTAATTTGCGTTGGAAGCGATCCCAGCCAGGTCCGGCCGATGTAGTCCTGCCGCAGCTTAACCTCTTGCCTCGCGGCCGTTTGAAGATAATCTCGCTCTTTTTTCGCGATCATTTGCACAAGGGCTTCATGAAGGTGAAGGAGATCGCCTGTGCCGGTCAGGAGATACGTTTTAACATCCTTATGGGC